CTTCAAAATCGTCTTTTCGTCGCTTTGGCGTCGAGATCCGGTTTTGGAGCTGCATTTTCCGACGCCGTTGCGCGTAGTTCTGTTGTGTTTTGCAACTCAGTCTTTGCAGATCGCATTGTAATGGCTGCGTCAAGGTTGCTTGGCGCAGCGGCTGCATGCGTAATAATATTGTCTTTTGCAGCTGAAGATCGTAAATCGTATTGGCGTGGCTGCATCCAGGCTGCGAGATTGGTTTGTTATAGCAAATTTTCGCAATTTTGGCGGTAGTAATTGTCCTTTTAAAATTCCTTTTAAAAAGTGCTTCAAAATCGTCTTTTTGTCGCTCTGGCGTCGAGATCCGGTTTTGGAGCTGCAATTTCCGACGCCATTGCGCGTAGTTCTATTGGGTTTTGCAACTCAGTCTCTGCAGATCGCATTGTAGTGGCTGCGTCAAGGTTGCTTGTTGCAGCGGCTGCATGCGTAATACTATTGTCTTTTGCAGCTGAAGATCGTAAATCGTATTGGCGTGGCTGCATCCAGGCTGCGAGATTGGTTTGTTATAGCAAATTTTCGCAATTTTGGCGGTAGTAATTGTCCTTTTAAAATTCCTTTTAAAAAGTGCTTCAAAATCGTCTTTTTGTCGCTTTGGCGTCGAGATCCAGTTTTGGAGCTGCAATTTCCGACGCCATTGCGCGTAGTTCTATTGTGTTTTGCAACTCAGTCTCTGCAGATCGCATTGTAGTGGCTGCGTCAAGGTTGCTTGGTGCAGCGGCTGCATGCGTAATACTATTGTCTTTTGCAGCTGAAGATCGTAAATCGTATTGGAATGGCTGCATCAAGGCTGCGAAAGCGATTTGTCAGCAGATTTTCTCAATTTTGGCGCTAATAATTTTCCTTTTAAAATTCCTATTAAAAAGTGCTTCAAAATCGTCTTTTTGTCGCTTTGGCGTCGAGATCCAGTTTTGGAGCTGCAATTCCTGTTGTGATTATGTACAAGAAAGCTTCTCTGTGCAAAAACTTTTTCTGTAAAAGCTTGCTGTGTGTAAAAGCTTCTCTGTAAAAGCGTCTCTGTGTAAAAGTTTCTGTGTGTGTGTAAACGCTTGCCATGTGTAAAAGCACTCTGCGTAAGTGTTCTGTGTGTAAACGCTTGCTGTGTGTGAAAGCTTGCTGTGTGTAAAAGCTTCTGTGTGTAAAAGCTTGTTGTGTGTAAAAGCTTCTCTGTTTAAAAAGCTTGCTGTGTGCGTAAACGCTTGCCATGTGTAAAAGCACTGTGTGTAAGTGTTCTGTGTGTAAACGCTTGCTGTGTGTGAAAGCTTGCTGTGTGTAAAAGCTTCCCTGTGAAGAAGCTTGCTGTGTGTGAAAGCTTGCTATGTGTAAAAGCTTCTCTGTGTAAAAGCTTGTTGTGTGTAAAAGCTTCTCTGTTTAAAAAGCTTGCTGTGTGTGTAAACGCTTGCCATGTGTAAAAGCACTGTGTGTAAGTGTTCTGTGTAAACGCTTGCTGTGTTTGAAAGCTTGCTGTGTGAAAAAGATTTTGCGTGTAAAAGCTTGCTGTGTGTAAAAGCCTCTCTGTGTGTAAAAGCGTCTCTGTGCAAAAGTTGCTGTGTGTAAACGCTTGCCATGTGTAAAAGCACTATGTGTAAGTGTTCTGTGTGTAAACGCTTGCTGTGTGTGAAAGCTTCTCTGTGAAGAAGCTTGTTGTGTGTAAAAGCTTCTGTCTGTAAAAGCTTCTCTGCTTGAAAAGCTTGCTGTGTGTAAAAGCTTCTCTGCGAAAGAACTTGATGTGTGTAGAAGCTTTGTAGTACAAAGTAGTACTGGAACGTGTTTTGTGCAAGCTTTGTAGTATAAAGTAGTACTGGAACGTGTTTTGTGCAAGCTTTGTAGTACACAGTAGTACTGGGAAGTGCATTGTGCAAGCTCTGTAGTACAAAGTAGTATTGGAACGTGTTTTGTGCAAGCTTTGTGGTACAAAGTAGTATTGGAACGTGTTTTGTGCAAGCTTTGTAGCTAGGGACATCAGTACTGGAAGTAATTTGACATAAAAATAGGCAAGAAGAACTTAGCTGAAAGATGGGAAGACATGGAATTGAGATGAGAATGAGCTCAGATTTAGATGAGTGAGATGAAGTGCATGGTGAAAGTGTGGGAGTGTGGGATGTGAAGAGTGCAATGTGAATGGTGAGGAAAGTGTTTGCCAGTGTTACCGGGTCGCGCCGAAGGTCCTGGTCTTGGACGCAACACTGACAACAGCTTCGCACAAAGCACGCACGCACGGGCCTGGCTGGAGCACGGCGCATGTTAGTACTGGGAAGGATTTCATGAAGCTTAGGGACATATGAGAAAGATGAGATGAGAAGAGATGACTGGGATAAGGTGAGAAGAGCTCAGATGAGATGAAGTGTGGAGTGTGAAGAGTGCAGTGTGAAGTGTGGGGCGCGAAGAGTGCAGTGTGAAGTGTGGAGTGTGAAGAAAGCAATGAGAAGTGAGAAGTGTGAAGTGTGAAGTGTGGAGTGTGAAGTGTGAAGTGTGGATGGGGAAGAGTGCAGTGTGAAGTGAGAAGTGTGGAGTGCGAAGTGTGAAGTGTGCAGTGTGGAGTGTGAAGAGTGCAGTGAGAAGTGTGAAGGGCGAAGTGGAGCTTCAAATGTGACATGTGAAACAGGACACCACTTTCGCAGAGTGCACGCACGCACGGGCTTGGCTGGCGCACGGCGCATGCAAGTTCTATAGATGAGAAAGGTCTTATATATATCTTTTGTAAGGCAACCTTCCCGCCCCCGCTCGTGCGGGGTTACTATGGGTATTTATACATATCTATGCATAAAGTATCTATAGACTATATGGATATTTCTTTGAAAGACAGACCAGATGGGAACCGAAACTAATTGTGTTTGACTACCACATGAACAGCTTCAAACTTCTACAGATCTCATGAGACGCCATGAATGGACCATCGGAATTTTTCTAGGCAGGTTTGGAGTCGCTGTTCCACGAGCTGAAGAGATAGGGTAGCGACTGAGGTTTGCTATGGTATTCCAGTTTAGCTGCGCAAGTTTCTTGGCTGCTTGGGCCGCTGGATGCCTTCAGGTTTGCTATCTGGTGATGTACTTTAGGTTCACCTCTGCTTTGCACGTAGGGAGCACATTGTAAGAGTGTGAGGATGATCGGACAACTCAACTACACACAAATGGGATTGTTTGGCCAAATGAGGATCTGAAGCATGGTTGCTCAGGCAGACGATTTTCGCTCAACATTGACAAACAGATGCTGGTCTCAAAGCGCAAACAACGCTGAGAAGGACATTCGCTTCTGCCACACACAGTTGGCAACCCCAAATTGATAATTCGATTCCACAACGGATCGGGAGTGTTTAGAATTCGTCTTGAGTATGAAGCCTTTCAGTCCCTTTGAGGCTGTGTCTATGGAAAGTGCTTCAGCATGTAGTTTTTTTCGTTGGAGTGGATGAGCGCTGCGTTCCGTGCGGCTTTCGAAGAAAAAAAACACTTTGGCAACGATCGAGCACTCTTTCGTTTCCTTAGCAGATTTCCTTAGGGCAATGCAGAAGGCTGGGCCAGCTCTCTCAGCTCTTCAAGATCTGAAATTTGCTGGCTAAAATTGTCTGGAATTCCTGTCTCAGAATCATTTTGGCCATGTTTGAGTTTTATGGCCTTTCATGACCTTTAGCCCTTTCTGCATTGAATCTTCTGGAGGTTTCCTCCATCCGCTGCAACATCCGCTGCCGTTTTGGGCCGAGTCTCACCGCTTTGTAGTTCTAAATCCTGTGCCCGAAGGTGTTGTTCCTCTCTCTGCTCCCATTGGGTAGGACGCCTACTGAAGATTCCAGTGTCTAGAGTCACTAGAGGAAACAAGGACACGGGACACTTTTTGGAACTGTGACAGCTGTGATTTGCTCAAATCCGTGCGCAGATGGTCTTGCCTCAATCCGGGGCAGTACATGGATCATCGTTGCGTAGCAGTTCTCCGAATTCCCAAATCAGACAAGAACATCACAGCATTTGGTCCAGTTCTCAACCCCCCAACCTCCCAACCCCAGTTCCCATGACGATCCCCAGGTGACAAGCCTTTTGGCGCCCGTGAGATCGTGAGATCGCGCCTGCGGCTTCGCAATGAGAAGGTTGACAGGACAGCTTTGGGCTGCTTGCCTCAGTTTCGCAGTGATGGATATGGCAATCGTTGTATATTAAATATCATTAGACATCATTAGATTATATTATTATCATTATTTCTATTATTGTTATTATTATATATTATCATTTATCACTAATATATTATTACACCGTTTAGTCATAAAGAGGAGATTTGCACCAGTGTTAGAACATGTTGGAACATGTTAGAACAGAATTTAGTGGCCACTTTGGCCACTTGGTGCAGCCTTCCACTGGCCACGTGGCTTTTCCAAGGTCCTTTGGCTGTCCTTCAGACTAGCAGGAGGAAACTGGTTGCTTCAGTGCCTGCCTAAGTGCTGCAGGGGGTGGGATCCGCTGGTCGGAGTTCGAGCATGCTTTCCCATTCTCGGTGAACCGCAGCCTGGCGGTGCATTCAAGGACACCCTGCAGTTATTATATATATATATATTATACACCTGTGAATAAATATAAATATATTCTATGTGCAATAATCCTTAACTGCAATAATGATCCAATTTCGACTAATTGTTGGAAGGGGTGGCACCCCCATGATATAACCTATTTGATATGCCAATGATACACTGGCCGCACCAAAAAACCATGAGGTGCTCATCCTGCCTTGACCAGGCGGGCATGGCTTCTGTGGGGTCAAGATTCAACACATTTCACAGTGAATTGCTGAATTTGGCTATTTTGAGAGAGAACGACATCCCCATTTTTGAGATATTCTGGCAACATTCTTGGGGAATGTGAACACGTCACGTGCACCCGGTTTTTGGATCGCAGTTCAGTTCGCGTTTACTTTGCAGTGAACAGCATGGGACTTGTCTTGTTGTGGCGCGTCCCATGTGAAGCATTGGCGCGGACATCGCTGGAGCAATGCCGAATGGAGATGGTGGGTATTTCTTTGCCCGGCACCGGAGCCTACCCGAGGAAGAGAGGCCACAAAAGCAATCTGCGGAATTTTGTTTCACTCAGACTTTAAAGTTTAAAACAAAGAAAATGGAAGTTTTCTGTCCATATCGCTCCAAGGGTTATCGAATGGATCCCTTTCGAGCGACCACTTTGGAGGGAATTGAGTGTGTAGATTAATCTTTGTTAATGGTACAAGCCAAAGGTGTTTGACTGGAAGTTGACAGGCAGAAGCGTGAAGACAGAACAGATTTCTTTCAGAGAGCGGCGAAGATCCTAAAGAAGTTCAATCCACTGAGCGATGATTTCACACAGCAAACCTTGTACTTTCTCCAGCAACGCGCCAAGCTCAGTGCTGGGAGTGTTTGCAGTTAGCAGTGGTCTTCCAGTTCTTCAGAGCAGCACTTGACGCATCTTGACGCCAAGAATTCAACAACATCCGTTGGATGTTGCAAGAGACCGCAATTCCCCTCGATGTCGACGATGGCATTCTTGATGCCAATGTTTCTACAGGAGACTTCTTTCAGCGTTGCAGATAAGGTACAGCAACATGTCAACATGCATGCCATTTTAGCACCAGTTTTCATCTAAAAGGTCGCCAACCCGTTGAAAGCAGGAGCCTTGCGAGCCCTTTTCCTGGCCAATTATTACCTTTGTGTGGTCCCTTTGAAGGATGGAAACCTTGCAGATGTGAGCACTTTGACTGTTGGATGTTGTGGGTGCCCACATTGCTGTCAAAAAAGCTGGGAAACGAAGACTTTCAAGACACCAGCTGCTAGTTGCCAGCAAGAATCATGAAACGGAAACTCCCGGTGCCTGATTTCCAGCGACCTATCCGCAGGTGCAATTTCTGCGGCTGGATGAATTCAGACCGGTGCAGCCCACTCGAGAGGAGCTATATCAGGAGGCTGGGAGTTGATGTGACAAAGAGATGAATATGGAAGATCAACCATGGTACCATACAATTATCAGATTTACCATGGTACCCATATTCAATTACCACATATTCAATTTAAATCTGGGAATGTGTGGTTTCTTGGGTTTTGGATTCGAGGTGTGCAGAATTGAAGAGGTCTTTTTTCACTTTAGGAGAACGCCCTGATCATGGTACTGTCGTAGGTCGTTGTTTCCGAGACACTCTGCAAATGGTGGCACATTATTCGATAAGAAACTGTATTTCTTATCGTGTTTGCGATTCAACACAAGCAGAAAATAGACAAGGAAATTGTTTAACTTCAGGTGGTTCCTGGCAAGTAATAAAGATTTTGAACATTTTTCAACCAAATCTCACAACCATTTGGAAGACTGATCAGCATTGCAATTGCACTCTTCCCGAGAACCATGTAGAACTGACAATGAATCATGAAGAATCATGTAATCTTTTAGGAAACCATCTAACAAGACTTTAAATCAGGTTTGTACGATACATGCATACTATGCATTTTTTATGACATCTTTTTCGGGCAGATTGATCTCGAGCTTCCAATGTCCCATGTCTCGCAGGTTTGGCATGAAGAGCATCAGTTGCTACAGGAATTGCGCTTCTGGGCCAAGGACTTCGGGAAGTCGCGAGGAAAACATCGACGCTTCGCACCGCATTCCCTGTGTCAAAGTGGATGGTGGAAGGTGACTTGGCGAGGTTTTTACAGGGATTCCTCTATAAATGATTATACATGGGTATATGTATACATATATATATAACTAGACATATATATATATATAACTATACATATATATATAACTATATATATACTTCTAAATATATAATTATACATATATAATTATACATATATAATTATACATATATAATTATACATATATAGTTATATATATATAATTATATGTATATGATTATATATATAAATAATGGGATAGAAGTGACATATGGCATTCAGATGGCTCGTACTTCGCTTGTGGCGGTAAGATTACCCAATCGCTTGTGGCAGTAAGAACGTTCATTTTTACGTTTATTTTGACTGCCGCAAGTGATTTTTTTTTACTGCCGCGGGTGATTGCTGTTTTTGCGTGGCAGGTGCAGCATTTCAAGGCCTAATCGCTTGTGGCGGTAAGATCGCGGTTGCTTCTTTTCAATCGCTTGTGGCGGTAAAAATCTGTCGCTTGTGGCGGTAAGTGGGTGTCCTTGATGCCAGGGTATAAAAAAACAATCGCTTGTGGCAGTAAGCTGCTTTGCAGCACTTGCGCACATACTTGTCTTCTATCCATGTGATTTCTAAACATTGACTGGAACCATTGCAACGCTGACGTACAGAAGGTTTATGTTAACTTCTTTCTGTTGTACAGGATTTCATTGTTTTCATTGATGTCTTGATTGAAGTTTAGATCATGTCTGTATCCTTTGCAGGGGGTCTAACAAAGAGGGTTGGAGCAACTTTTTAGGGCGCTATTCGACTCGGTTACCATAGGTAAAACATATGGCTTTTGATAGCATTTGGTGTGAATCCAACCCAGAGAGAATGAATGAAAGGAGAAAAGAAAGACCGACTTTTATCCAGGTGGAATTTCAGCTCGGCTGTGTTTTTCATGTCTTTTCGTTTTGCAGTTGGGTATATATAACGCTACGGTTGATATATTGGTTATAGATACTGTGGCAATAGCCTCACGTTAGGATTTACATAGAACGGCGCGACCGCGACTAGACTTGTAGCTGTTGAGCGAGCGTAGTGATCCGTGTATCTCCATGGCAGGGTTTAGGGTGGAAACTTTGCTTACATACCTAGCACATCATCATTAACCTTCTCCTCCTCATCATCATCCTCCTCCTCATCATCATCGTCATCATCATCATCATCATCATCTTCCTCCTCAACATCATCATCATCATCATCATCAACATCATCATCATCAACATCATCATCATCATCATCATCATCAACTTCAACATCATCATCATCATCATCATCAACATAATCATCATCAACTTTAACATCATCATCATCATCATCATCATCATCATTTTCATCTATATACACTCTAGTACTTTTTGTACTTGCCCCAAACTGTTTGGGGTATTTTGCTAATACATTGTCCTCGTTTGTTATGTGTGGAACTGCCCGTGGTGCAAGATTCAGAGGAAGGATCGTGGGAGGGGGAACGAACTTGCAAGCAAATTTGACTAACTCAGCATTTATTTTTATATAACCAGTAGATTATGCATATTGATACGTACAACGTACATACAGTAGCTGATGATGAAAGAGCAGTGCCTGTTGCCATTCAGGTGTGTGCACAGGAACATGAACGTTATTATCCCACCCCACCCCACCCCTCCCCACCCCACCCCACCCCACCCCAGCAGTAGCTGATGATGAAAGAGCAGTGCCTGTTGCCATTCAGGTGTGTGCACAGGAACATGAACGTTATTATCCACCCCACCCCACCCCCCCACCCCACCCCACCCCACCCCACCCCAGCAGTAGCTGATGATGAAAGAGCAGTGCCTGTTGCCATTCAGGTGTGTGCACAGGAACATGAACGTTATTATCCCACCCCACCCCACCCCTCCCCAGCAGTAACATGAACGTTCCGGAATCTTACTGCCGCAAGTGATTGGTCTTGAATCGTCTTACAAGAGTCTTACTGCCGCAAGTGATTGATTCTTACTGCCGCAAGTGATGGTTGCGCCATTCAGATGGGGATAGAATGGGGAAACTAACCATACTTTTCAATGGGTTGTTTAAGGGAAACTCTACAGGAAAGATGTTTTTTCACGAAAGGTAGCGTCAGCTACCTGAGTTCTCCGTGCTTCAGCACAAGCTTAGGGGGTATTGGGGGGCCAGCCCACGGAATTCATGGAATTCTCGCCGTTATGTATTGGATATCAATTATAAGGCGGGGGGCCCCCCCCCCCCGAAAATGGTCATGGGTTCAATTCCCACGGGTGACGCGGTCACGGGCCCCCACATTAGAGGCACACTTTCCATGAGGGAGATGTCCCTGTAGTCCAGCATAATTGGTAGGCTTTAGCCTCAATAACAGTTGCTGCAAGGGGTCTTAAAAAGGGGTTTTCAAATAAACCCCTTTTCGTGCATCATTTCACGCTGCACAAGACACCGTATCATGCAGTCATGCTCTGGATAAAATCATCTTAGACTGCGCAAAAACGTTTTTGGTGTATCATCTTAGGGGCGCAGCATTTTGACACCACTCCTCTCCCACTACACTACCTTTCGTCCGCCTCCGCCTGCTCTCAAGTTAATAGTGGGGATTTCCTGCAATTTTCCCTGACATTCTGGCGTTGAAATCTGTTGATGAAGACCACTTAAGAGATGATGTGGGGTTGTCCAGACATGAACCATATTTCGGCAATCTTCTGGGGAAAGAAGAATACATGATGGGATTTTGGTGTATGTTACTTTCAGACCTCCTTCTGGTGATTGAAATTTGTGGCGAAACAGCAGGGTAGGGGGTTGAACTGACCCCGGCTTGTCACAGAGATTGCAGTAATATCCATTGATTGAAAATCAATTTCAAATCTTTGGCCTTCAACTAGCATTTTGGCAGCGTCCCAGCTCTGCTTCCCTCCAGGCACCGGCACTCGCAGATTGCAGTGAGCATTTGCTGACAGCTTTGCGCACCTGGGACGTGTTGCCAGGCGCTTTTGCCCAGCTTCCATCCATCCCTAGTGGAGACAAATGGACAGAAATGGCCAGAAATCGAAGGACATGGAAAGACATGGAAAGACGTGGATCAATAACAGACATGATAACATAACAAGAATAAAAATGAAGATAATGATAATATAACACTGATAATAAAAGGGCGTTTTGCACCATTCGTTGCAGAAAATCGCCACAGGTGACCAGGTCCCAGATCTTCTTCCACGTGCTGTCTGTACCTCCTCGGCCATGCTGGAGGAAACGGCCATGGAACATTTGATGTGGAGCCATTGCAGCTGGGTCTCAGGATATTCATGGGATATTCATGGGATATTCATGGGATATTCATGGGGATTTGATGAAGATTTGATGGGATAAACGCCAGAAATCCCATGGTTTTGTGATCTCACCTTCGCCTTGAGATGGCCATGGGTCCATTGGGTAAGGCATCGCTGGATTCTTGAATAAGATGCCGTCGTGTTTCTCTTTGAGTTGCGTTCACTTCATGTTGTGCATCTATCTACATACATATAGTTATAAAAATACATAGGCATCATATATATATATATATAGTTATATATAAATACACGTATATATATATATATATATTCAAAGTCATCTTCCCCGTTGAAAGCTTAGCATATACAGTATCAAGAGCTTCGCAGAAATCTTCAACGCAGAGGTGTCGCAGATGATATGCAGTATCATGTGACCTGTGCATACAACCAGCTCTACACCAAGCGAGATCTGGATGAGGCCCGGTGTTGAGGATAGGATGCTGGGGATTCAGAACTAGGGAAGGTCCACTGCAGGGGTTGCTGATTACAGCTTCAAGATTCGTAGCGTTTTGCCATGATTCTTCAGTCGCGGTTCCGGCTTTCCGCACGTGAGCTGCGGAAATAAACTGAGGCAGCGGCGCACTTACAAGTGGCATCTCTGGTTGCCATGCTCTGTGATGGCTGCAGGGTGGATGGTCAAGGATTTTCATCTGTGGCTTTGGATGAACTGCTTTGGCGCTTTGGACTCTTGGTCCTTGAAGCCTTGCAGCTGAAAGACATGGACTGGGAGGAGGAGAGGGAAGGAAGGGAGCGACAGGGCTGGTTTCAGGCACGAAGATGTGGGATTTGCTATGGGGCTGTCTAAACATCTTTGGAACCGCATTCCATCCCACAATTTAAACATATTAAAACCATCATGTTCTTTCTTAGCATGGCAGCATGGGCTTAAATTGGAGGCTCATCCCTTTCGAGACCCTTCAGGACCCACAGAGGTATGCCTGGGCTGCTGGCACAGTCTCCTGTCTGGATATCTTTTTGGTGGTTTGATCTGAATCCAGTGATCCAGTGATGTCGCCTGGAGACATTACATTAGTTCATGGTGTTGGTTGAAACTGGAAAAATCGAAGGACACCACAAGAAACCATCATAATATAATATCATAATGTCAAAATATATTTTAATATCATGATATCCCAAAAAGATTCCCACATTGTCACCATCCAAAAAATGCTGGCTTTCCTCCTTTCATTCCCATGGCCCCCTTGGCTCCCCATGGCTCCCATGGCCATGGCCCCCATGGCAGGTGTCCTCGTCTCCTCCTCGCACTGCCTGGCGTGGCCACGAGCCGTTGCAAGCGATACTCTTTGGACGCTCCAAGTGCCAGGCGGTGCTGAGACCCCCGCGATTTGGCTGGCGATTTGGCGATTTGGGGTGTAACCAATGTGTACCCTCTGGTAAACATACAAAAAGCTATTGAAAATCACAATTTTTAATGGGAAAACCCACTATAAATGGTCATTTTCCATAGCTATGTTAAATTACCAGAGGGTAACCAATAGGAATGGGAGGATTCAACAGAAATGGGGCTTGACATGGCTTGACTAACACAAACCGAGTTTATATCAGGATGGGCAACATCAACCAGGAGCAGCAGAAACATGCAGAAGCCATGGGGGATTCAGCCGACACAAACGCGGGATTGATCGGGAGTTAAGCAAAGACGATGGACACCCTCACCAGCCAACATGGGCACGGGTCAAGGGGGTCAAGGTTCCCCGGGTTTTTCCATCATCCCAAATGGCAATCAGCTGCAATAAGGCTCTGCATCCAAGAGAATACCATCAGAACGGGTGACTTTGTAGCTGACTATGACTTGGTCACAGAGCGACTCGACGAGGGAAACCCAGTTGAGGTTCCGGAAATGTCTCAATTTGACAAGTTGCACTCGGGATTGCTGAAAGACACGCTGAGGCGCTTACCCACTTGCCATTATGAGAGGCAAAAGGCAACAAGCACAGGGCTACAGCTGAAACCCATGGAGCTCAAGGATGACTAAAACCAGTGAGCCATGCAGAAGTTCGAAAGCATGAGTTGCTTATGAGTCATGTTGAGATTAAAAAACAAATCAATGTGTTAAATTGTTTTCCAAACATGTTGTGGCTGTTTCCAAACCATATTTCCCAACAGGGAATATCTCCAAACAAGCTATGTTCCAAATATTTTCCTACATTTTTCTTCCAAAGAAGTATCCAAAGAACTACTGTATGTTTTTTTTTTGGACCTCGCGCTTCGCACTTCTGTACCAAGTCCACGGGCTTGCGCGCATCGCAGGATGCCCAAGACGCTCTGGCCGGAACTGGGCCGGCCAGGTGTTCGGTGGCTCCGCTCGACACGATTTTGCTGCTGCTTCCTGTGTCTGGGCGAATTCACCTGGCAGGTGAATTGAGCCATTAAACATACCCTGGTGAATTGATTGCTATAGGGGATTATACTACCTGATTTACTGGGGATTATGATAACCCATAATAGGGGGTATGTCTGAAAATGTTGGGTTAATATTCCCAATGAAATAGCCATTGAATAACGGGATAATGATCAGCAAAACCATTGGGTGTAGGGGTTTAGCCTATTTTCAGACAAAGCCAATTGGAGATGCAACTGGGTAGCTGTGTTTCACCAGTCGGTGCCTCTCAGGTGTACCCGAAGATGATGGGGCACCTTACCAGTGAAATGATCTGGTTGACTGGCCTCTTGGCGTTGGGATGCTGTGGTGATCTTTCTTGTAGAACCTGCACCCGCCTCATGGCTCGTATTGTGAGTAACTCTATATGTTTAGGCGGAATTAGATACCCCAAGTCGATCTCAGTCAAGGGAAAATCCACCCCATTTGTGCGGATTTATGGCAATTTCCCAGCTAGCCATATTGGATTCCCAAAGGGACTCTGCATGAACTTGTTGACTTGCCGTGACTCAAGGTGCATTGGCATGGTTCTCTGGACCAACCGGGAGGAAGTTGTACCTTGCCTGCAACGAGAACAGCTGCGCAAAGCGGGCATGGCTGAATGTCAATTGTGGACTCAGACTCTAAACATTTCAAGCTGAACATGCAGGGTACACATCTTAATGAGTCATTGGGAAAACCTTAGGCTGAGAGCTTTATGGCAAGCAGCTGGTGAGTATCCGCACATGGGCCTGCCTCCCGAAGGCCTCTTGCGGAACACCACAGAGGCCCATGGTTTATAATGGTTTAGCAAAAAGCTTCGAGTAAGATGGAGAACATGACATGTGTCAAAAATGTGACCAAACTTCCTTGTCGGCCTTTTTTGCTTGTCTCTTTGCTATTGAGCATTATCAAGCATTATTGGGAGCTGTTTGCCTCATCAGTAGCCACAGACTTTGGTGTCCACATCCAGCTGTGCCAGCCGTGCTGTCCTGGCCGATTGGCAGGTTCTTTTGGTGCCTTCACCAGGAGACGTCTGAAATTTCAGCTAGGCATAGAGTCCCAGAAGTGCACCTGGAAACCTCCAAATGGAGGTTTCCTAAAATAGGGGTAGCCCTCATTTTTTTTGGATTTTCCCTTATAAACCATCCATTTTGAGGTACCCCCAATTTAGGAGACCCCCATTTATGAATTCCATTAATTCACTATTCAATCTGCCTTGAGATCCGAGACCTGATGAGTTTCCAGGACGATATGCGGACCCTGAGCAACTGCTGCTGAAGGACTTGTTTTCCCTTTTGAGCTCCAGACCCATTCGTGCTTTGGCTGGAAGAAGGGCATCTCTAGAAGAGATGTGCGTGTTTCGAAAATCAGGACCAATAGAAAATACACTTGGCAGACTGCGATCTTGCAATCTACCATACAGCTGCGGCAGAATCTGGTATTCATGTCGATAATTGATGGTCGACCGAGGAAGTTTGCTCCCGAACAAGGATGGCTGCCGTTGCTACCGCAGGGGTGCCGTTTGGGGATACCTGGAAGCGCCCTTTTCAGGGCCCGGTGCTGACCTCAGAGCGGCCATCTTCCGAGGTTTTTCGATGTTTTTCGCCCAGGTTCCTTTGTGGCACAACCTTTGTGGGTAGAAAAAACGCAATGCTCTTTGTGGAAAAGCTCTGGCCTGACACCTGGTCCCACTGGTCAGGTGATTTCACCTTTCCAGACTCTGTTGCCATGAGAACTGCCATGGTGAGACACCTGAAGCTGGTGCCACCTGGGAGACATGCGAGAAATGCTATTGGTGTTCTGCTGGTGGAGCGCTGCAAGGCGGGGAGTTCATGTCATTTGCATGGTGTGAGCTATCTATTTGTTGGCCCAATTTCATCCAATTTTGGGCATTTTCTGAAGATAGACCGGATGACCGTCAGTTTGGTCCTGTTTGGGCCTTTCAAAGTTGATGGGTGCATCCAGCATGGGTTTCCCTGAGGATACTGTGGGTTGCAAGCGTAGCATCAGCAACCTGAACCGTGTGACGTCGGCCATTTCCCAGTTGGAAGATGTGAAGTTGCAACATGTCAGGCCGTGAGCTGAGATCAAAGATGTTGGGTTCACTAAAGGACATTTCTTTGAGCCAAGTTCAGATGTGCTTGGAGATGCTTCTGTCGATGGTCACGACAGGCTACAAGAGTTGCCTCTGCTGGAACAGGTTCGGCTCATACTCGAAACTCAGGCCCAGTCCTACGGGCGATTCATTCCATCGAAACACGATGCTTCCTTGCATTCTCATCGCACTTCCTGATTACCGACCAAGAATAAATGGTTCTTAGATCATTTAGATCCAATTTTCTGGTCCAGTTACTGGGTACTTCACGACCTCCCCATCCCCCTACCATCCCCCACATGCAGGTCTTATTGGCCACCTTTGGAGCGACCTTAGCATGGCTCCCCTTGCTGCGAAGCAACTCCTTCGTTATCGACATGCACCCAGGGCCACCCGAGGCCTTGACGCGCCTTGCCGAAGGATCCAGCACTGGGGTTGTTTGATAAGATACCCTCACTTCCAAGGCGTCATCTTTTTTCCGACTGAAAGGGACCAAATCAGCATAAATTCGCTTTTTTTAGGACATTTAGGACAAAGCAAATTAGTATCTCAAATTAGTATCTCACCAATCAAAAGTACAATGCCATTGGCCGACGACTGGAATGCGTCAAGGGCCGATTGGCCACCCATCAACCATCATCAACCAGTTGGGGGTAGTCTTGTACGGTCCAAGACTGAGGTCCAAGACTCAGCAATTTTTTTCGGGACAGTCTTCCAAGAAAACCAGGGTTTTTGGATGGAGGTCTTATGGCTGTTATGGGCTTAGTGTTTCATCAATTTCCGCAGTTAGGGATGGACTTGGTTGGATTCATTGGTTGCTGTTGAACAACAAAAAATCACCACGGCTTGTGGTTGAACATCGACACCGGAAACCGGAAACCATGGGGATTTTCCAATGAACTTTCCCAACAAAAACCAATCCAATGATGTTATATCAATGTGATGAAACCTGGAGGTTTTTGTTGTTGTTGATTACACAGGATTCGTCCTGGATTCAGCATTCTTATCCAACTCTTGCAGACTGCATGGAAAGTACAACCGCTGGCCACGGTTTGATTCAAATCGCCTTGATGCGCAATCTGGATGTGGGTCAAAATTAGGTACCCCAACAATTGGATGGTTAATACTAAACTAGACTAATATCTGTGGTCCCCTAGGTCTTCCATTTTGACCCACATCCATCTGGGGACACCATCTTGGTCTTCGTATTTTTCTGAACGGCCATCGGCTATCGATACATGTGAAGCAATCAATCTGTAAGGTGGCAAAGCCAAAAATCAACCCTCTAAAATTTTGGGATAATTTTTGGATATTGGTTTCTTAGGGATAGTTTGGGTTGATAAACCAAAATCTGGCTACCAGTTTTGACAAGCCATTTCTGGTGACAATTTGACCCACCGAGGCTCTTTGGCAGTTGTTGGACCGCGCCTCCAGCCGTGGTCCCCGTTGCAGCAACAGCGGCATCATGGGACGTGAACCCCAGCGCCTTTGATGAAGCGGTCGGCTGGTAGGGGGATCAACTGACCCGCCATTTTGTGTTTCAAAGATTGGCAAGGTATGTGTTTACCAAACATTTATTACCAAGTATGTGTTTATAAACCATTGGTGCTTTCTTCGCAAAATATGTAAATTTGGAACTCCGATTTCAAAGTGACAGCCACTCAGGAAGTGAGTTCGGTGGATGGGCCAGAACTGCGCATGTGAACTATGCCTGCTCATCTGAGCCTACATCGAAGAACAGGCCGAGTGAGGGCAAGCCTTTGGAATGACCAGCAAAGTCGAGAGGTAGGATAGGTATCCAAGACTGTACTAAGGCTACTAAGGGTGTATGAGCTATGGGGCAGCACAATCAGGATCCCTCTTGGAAATTCAGCCGACATGATCGATCCATGAGATATCCATACCATGAGAAGATCCTTTGTCACCCCCCCAATTTTTGAACCCCTGGAAACGTCTCCCGCACTGTGAGGCGTTGTTTTCGCTCCCTTCGCGTCGCTTCCTTCGAGGTCTGGTCGTTTGAGGTGAATGTCTCGGAGATCGTGGCGTTGGTCAACGACGCCATCGAACGGCTCAAACGACGATGACGTGGCGATGGCTCTGACATATTCTGACGCAGTGAAGGTCATGGCCCATCTGGGCCCATCTGTCACCATGGCACCGGATAGCGGTGATATGCTGATCATATCTCTGTCACCTGTTGAAGTCTTCCAGCAGGTCCTGTTTCTTGAGAGGCTCCAACTTGACGAAGTTCGACGTCGTGGCCGTAGGGCCATAGGCGATATCCATGGCTGAAAACTGCCATGACGTTCTGTGCAAATCGGTGGACCTCCAACGAGACTCGTGTTGGAGGTGGATTCTGCCCAGGGTGGGCAGGGCTTTAATTTCTGCTGTCAAAGCAGCAACGAAAACAACCGCTACTTGGTGAAAAAGCAAAGCTCTTGACATTATGAATGCACCACCTTCCATAACATGGCAACAAGAATAGAACGGAAGGGCTCGCATTTGGTAGGTTTGCCGACGGCTTGGGATGCAAAGACTATGTTGGTCAATGTTCGGACCAAGGCAACTGCTTGAACAGGCAACAGCAATGTGCCCTGTGTTCTTGCCTAAAGGCACTGTACTCGGACTCCAAGATCAAGGAGAATGTGGAAGATGCAGATTTGCAGGCTTGGTGAGTACTTTGTGAGTTTGGAGGGAATGGATCGCCCAACTGATTTTGAGCAGAAACCATATTCAGCTGTTGCTCCATCCACGTCGATCGTGAAACGCTGCAGACCCTCATGCAGCAGATCAAGCACATCCGCATTCGAGAGCTGCTGACCCCAGTGACATCCAGTGATCCAAGTGTTTGAATCCCTTGCAAGAGCTTGTTTCTGCCGTAAAGCATCAATCGAGATCAATCGAGTAAACCTACTGTAGATCCGTTTGGCCCACCTAGACCTAGATTGGCTGCGTCCTTTCCTGACAAATGAAGGGCTTACCATCAGCTGCTTCGTCAGTGATGTGTCACCAAGGTTTGATCATGGAGAGGAAGAATTCTTCAACAAGTTCTTTTCCAGACGACAGTGTGGACTTCAGACATTTTTCACATTGGAACACGTGAGAAGCGACAACGCTTTATTATGTTTATTCAAAAGGAAAAGCTTTTGGAAAGTTCTTCTGTACTATGAAATGATATTTGTTTCACATTTGTCTGGTAAATGCCCAGGAAACCCAATGGAAACCAAGGGTTCTTCTGATGCCCACCGCCGGAACACCTACTGTATTCTCTGTCGAATCATGGACAGAATTGGAGGGGGCAAAATTTGCGACGGCCCCAGAACTTTCTGTGTATTGTAAGATTTGGTCAACATGTCCATGCTATTTATATCTATGTCTATTTCCATGCTATTTCCATGCTATTTCCACTCCCCCGAAACCAGTTTTTTCAGCTGATCCAAAGCCACCAACCGGGGAGGCTAGGCATCATGGCTCATGAGCTCCAACCGGTGATGCCCACGGCAGTTCCTGGGCTGCCATTGAAGTTGACTGACAGTGATTTGGAACTGTGCATTTTGGATTTGATGGATTTTGGGCTCACCCAACATGTTGAACGGTTGCGTTACCGTTGGCCTCGAGTTGCGGCCCGGGAAAGCTGTGGAGACAGGTCTTCCAAACAGTCTCTGAACGGGCAGGTCGGTGTGCTTCCAGAGAGAAGATGGACGAATCCCAAGGGTGTCACCAACCAGACGAAAAATGTGCCGGCCTCAGAAGTTCTGCATTTTTTTTTGCCAACAAAAATCCAACAAAAATGGCCCAACTTCTGGCACCCTGAGGTCATGCTGGTTCGAGATACACACCTGCTCTTTGCGACCTTGGGGTCTGCGCCCAACAACATGTTGGAGTGTTCTGAAACAAAGCGCCCACAGAACGCTTGCTTCTTGTATTTTTTGGTCATGAAACAGTTAGCGAGTGTTTCATGATTTTGATGCGATTCCAAAACAATGTACTCTTTCATAAACTGGTTTTATAAACCAAACATATGGATTTTCTATACACGACATTATACAATATTAAACTTCAATTTATTGATCTATTCATCTCATGAAGACAGCGGCCAGGGCGGTCCAGTTACTGGCCAAGAAGGCGGATGTCTGGGACGAAGGCATTGAGCAACTTTTCAAGGCGGGGCCAGGGTTATACACGTTAGATCCAGTGGAGATGCGATGGATTCCGTTCCGAAAGCAGAAAGGGGCAAAAAGAAGTGGCAACAAGGGCCAGGGGGCCATTTCCATGAAGAGATTTTCAGGGGCTAAGAATTCTTGAGGCCCAGAATAGGCAACATATGATTTATTCGGAATGACAAATGGAGGTGCTTTTCAAAGGCCCCCAAGCCCATCAAAGCCTTACCATTTCTGGAAACTGCAGATTCTGCAGATTCAGTCCATGGGGTTCTCAGGACAACAGTGCTATTGTCGCAGAACAAGATGACAACAGGCGAGGCGGTTTTGGAGGTTCTACAGCAGGTTTGCCCGGTTTCATGCAATGATACCTTCCTGCAATCCAATCTGGAAATGTAAAATCCACCCCATTGATATCCATTGATAGATGATTTTCACCAAAGGGTAGGATTACTTGGCCCAGCTGTCTCTCATGGGATATCACCTTTCTGAGGCGCAAGCGCGAGGATAGGGGGTGGGCCTGAGGTGGGCACATCTGGTGGCTGGATATGGCCAACGACCATGGAAACAACATGGGAAGATCCCTAAAGAAGCAGAGTTTCATGGTCCATGTTCTGCAGGGTGGACGAATATACTGCACCATCCCCGTTTCTGACACATCTTCATGTTAGCAATGGGCATGGTTCAACATACGGCCACAAAGATGGGATCCTTTAATAAAGATTATCCTAAAATCTGTAGGTCCCGGTTCTGATTTTTTAGGTGGTTGGTCAACGACGCTGAAGGAGCTTTTGGAGCAACTTGTGCGGGTGGTTGCCAAAGTAGAGGTGAGCTGCTGTTTTTTTTTCCCAGGGGAAGCAGAGTATTCGTGAACAAAACTTGTCCATGCTGAATCATGCTGAAATTATTGTCCCAAAATTTGGGGGATACTGATGGACAGTTAAAACTATGGCAATTTTGATGGTTTCCTTGCCTTCGACAGTCTGGCAACAGCCGGCATTGGAACGTCCCGATTTACAACGAAGATCTTTTTTTGAGACTCGCTATTCCCATTGAACCATATTCAAACTGCTGATTTTTAGATGATGTTGCTACAACAAAATCCCAATTGATCTTTTTTTTCTCACTCAATCATAAATTATCAGCAATCTCCTCATATTAATTTGGTTGTTAAAGCCCTGTACATCATGATTTTCCCCACGAGAATTCCTCATTGACACCTGGGGCGGGCTGTTTCTATGGAGGTGATGCAATTCGGCTTCGCCAAGACAGAAGAGTCGGTTGCCACGGCCTCAGAAAGCTTCGCGAGAGATGCTGATTTTTATCGGAAAACATGGAACAGCTGCATCGTCAGTAGACAAAATTCTGGAAATCTTATCATTGTCTATTGTCTATTTTCAAACCGGTTGAGCACCTTCATCTTCCATGCAAAATCCATCATGAAACAGTCCGAGGATTTTTTTTGACAGGACAACTACCTAAAAAGTGATGGATTCTTCACTTCTAAGCAAGTTTGCTGAGGGTATCGCCTATGCGTCCAGTCATTGTTAGGATTTTTTGCACCCAATGATGTAACCCATATAGGTCCAACTCAAAACCCGTGGGCCGAGGTATTTCACCATATTTCACCATATTTCACCATATTTCACCATATTTCACCATATTTCACCATATTTCACCATATTTCACCCATTGAAATTTTGGGTACTGTGGCCAGCCAGTTCCAGAAATATGCCAGAAACCGCGTTTACGAATCAGTGCCGTGCCCAGGCTCGAGTGGAGGGTGCCATGACGCATCACAAACAAGTGCAACAGGAACGCCACGATCAACTGCTTTTGAGTCTCAAACTGAGATTCGTTGTTCACGCGAGTCGCGAAGCTCATTTGCGAGACAGACACAAAAAAGTTGGCATAAAAATGCCATTTTTGCAGGATTCACTTGTTGGTTTACAGAATCCGAAAGATATGGAAGATATAGGTCATGCACCAACATGGGGAATCTGTTGCACTTTCACGTTGGCCCTCCTGATTTGGCTGCACATCCCAGCTGTCCAGGTGTAGATATGCTGACCAACAAGTCCCTAGAACAGGACATGAACATTGTGCCCTGGCTGGAGATGACTCGGGCTGATGTCATTGATGTCCTTTTCCTACTGGTGGATCAGAAGGGTTAAACAACCCCTTCACAATTGGTAGATATTGAGCAAATGGTACACTACTGTGGACCCCAACCTCTTGGGCAATCAAACAAATCCATACCACAGTACCATCATTGGCTACTAATCCCATTCACCAAAATTGGAACTTGCAACTTAGATTCTATTATTTTCTCAGTGAAGTGGTTTCTATGGGAGTAAGCATCACGGTGAATCATCAGTAGAAATCATATAATGAGCCAGCTAATTCCATGATATGATAATTATCATGGGATACCATCGAATCCTTATCCTTCTGAATCATCATATCATATCACGAGCCAATGATCATGAATCATGAGCTAATACATCAATATATAATTAGATATTCTACATTCATCATAATCATCATAATCATCATAATCACCATAGAATCATAGTCATCATAATCATCATAGGCTTAATCATCCCAGCCACTTTGATATTCTGATGATATGATGATTAAATGTTTTTCACATCACCCCTATCTTGATATATTTAATGATGGCCGTAACAGCAACCAATTGCCAACCAGCATCTCTTCACCATTAAATCCTATTAAATCCCATTAAATCCCATTAAATCACCATTAAATCCTACTAAATCACCATTAAATCACCATTAAATCCCATTAAAACACCATTAAATCCCATTAAACCACCATTAAATCCCATTAAATCACCATTAAATCCTACTAAATCACCATTAAATCACCATTAAATCAACATTAAATCCCTTCCCAGCCATTTTTTCCTCCGCTCCCAGGCGACCTTCCAGGAGGCCTTCCGCCAGGCCGTCGACCGGGAAGCCCGTGCGGATCTGGTGGAGAAGCGCAAGCAGACGGAGGCCGAACTGGAGGTGCCGGGCACAACGTTGTGCTGGGGGAATATGGGGGATATATATATATAGGATGTGTATATAATAGGATATATATATACATATGTATATGCATATATGTATATATGTATATGTATATGTATATATATATATATTGTGAAACCATGCATGATCGTGATGTGCATAGCCCAGGGGTCAACCATGTTTCCTGCCTTCAGCTGGGGAAGGCTCAAGGTGAGCCAGAGGTGGGTGAGGACGTAGCTTTTGCCATTGGCTACTTGCGTTGGACGCTTGGAGGAAAATCAAGGTGCTGCAGCGAGGACGCTGCTGGTGGAATCCACGGTGACGCTGCCAATCTCATTTGAGATTGGTAGCGGAGCCGGTTGCTCCGTGAGGGACCGGCGACGCAATGCCTGCTGAGGACAGCAGTGATGGAAGTGGAGGTACCGCGACCGGGATGGTACCAAACCAGTTAGCTATGCTGGTTCCAACGTTCAATCCAGCCACTGATTCTGTCGATATGTGGACTCAGAAGGTGGAGATGTTGGTACTCGCATGGCCAGAGAACAAGATACAGGAGCTTGCAACAAGGCTTGTGTTGGGTTGTCAGGGAACGGCCTTCCAAAAGCTTCAACTGCATAGGTCCGAGGTTTTGGCAAATGATCCCAAGTGCATTCAAAAGATTGTGGAGATCGTGGGTGGTATCTGGGGTCAGGTGCCGCTTGAGCAAAAATTTGAGTTAGCTGAAAGGGCCCTTTACAGAACGCAACAGGAAAGTGACGAAACATCTGACTCGTACCTTGCTCGAATGGACGTGACATGGACAGAACTGTTAGCCAAGAAGCTTTCTCTCAGTGAACTCCAAGCATACGTGACTCTGCGAAGCAGCCGATTGTCTTCCGAAGACAAAAAACGAGTGATCGTTGAGTCAGGTGCTGAGACTGGTGGTTAATTGGAGTCGAGAAAGGTATCAGCTGCAATTAGAATGTTGGGATCAATTTTTTTCCAAGACATGACTGGTCAACGTCGTGAAAAGAGCCAAAAGGTTTATGATCATTTGACGCTTGCTGCAGAAGAATGTGATGAATCAGAAGCTGATGCATACTATGGACATGATGATGCATGGGAGGATGAGGCCATTGAGGCCTTAGCTGCAGACAACGATGAAGATGCCAGTATGATTCTTCAATTTGAAGATGCAGTAGCAGAGGTGGTCCAAGGCGATCATGACTTGGCCGCGTTCTTCAGCACATACCAAGATGCCAGACGCCGCCTTAGCGAGCGTGTCAGAGTTCGTGGTTTCTGGCCAGTGAAGAAAGGTTTTGGAAAGAAAGGTGCATGGAAGGGCAAAGGCCCAAGCAAGGGAAAAGGATCTAGCCTCGCACAGAGGATCGCAAACAGCCATTGCAGGCTGTGCAATCAAAAGGGGCACTGGAAAGCCGAGTGCCCAAACAAAGCATCCGCCACGAGTGGTAGCTCCTCTGCCACCGTAGTGCCCACTTCGTTTGCCATTGTGGACCCTGTGCTGGCCACTGTGATCGATGTTCCCATGATGGATCAGCCCACCGTGAGTGCAACTGATCCGCATGCCAGACCTGGTTTTCATGAATGTCATGTACAAGTAGTGGATAACTGGGGGCATAGTGGGGTAAATAAGATAAGTCGGGGTAGGAACATGTCAAAGTTTTGGGCTGCTCGTTTTGGATCCAAACTGAGGCACCAACTGAAAGCCACCAGTGATTCGTTCCGTAGATCAAATGTCACTGCTGTGTCAAAGCCAAAAGTGTCCCAGTGTCCAACTCAAGGTCCAAAACCTGAAAAACACTTGCAGCCGGAAGAAATCTCACAAGACAGTCGAATTGATGTTGCTTGTTTTGCATCCTCGGGCACTGTTGGCATTGTGGACTTAGGAGCTTCCCGCACAGTGGTAGGAAGTAAACAAGTGAGTGAGATTCTCAATGGCGTGCCGACACACATTCGGTCCCAGATCCGTCGCACCAGCTGCAATTTAGTTTTCCGGTTCGGCAACCATCAGACACCGAGCTCACAGCATGCACTTCTTTTTCCATTTCATGACATGTGGCTTGAAGTAGCAATTGTGGAAGGAAACACTCCTTTTTTGTTGTCAGCCAGTTTTTTGAAACAAATTGGTGCGGTGATTGACGTGGAACAAAATCAGCTTTGGAGTAGGGTGCTGAACCGCGCACTTCCTGTTGGAACTTCACCCCGCAACTTGATGCTGCTAGATATCAATGAGCTGTGGGAAACTGGAAATCAGGCTCAGGAAGGTCTTGTGATGGAAGCCCAGTTTCAAGCGAATGCCAAGACCGACATCTCCTCTCAGGTGCCGTTGGAAAATGAGCATTGGCGGCGGTCAGTGGATTCCAATACCATCAGATCATGCGATCAAAACACCTCTAGGAATAGCCCAGAGGGATCTCAGTTGTCCAATGATGCATTTGATCCAAAGAGCACTGCAAAACTGTCAAGGCCCAAGTTCGCAGAGCCCCAGGTGAATTGCGATCTCTCTCACGTTAGTAGTGTCTCCCAACATGTTCAGCCTAGCTCAGAGAATGAAGGCTCGTGCACAGAAAGCCAGTGTCGAAGAGGAGATCCAAAGCCTCAACATGTTTCGCAAGATGCCGTTGTCCGAGATGAATCAACTGACTGTGGACTTCGGAGAAAAATACCGAGGCCAGAGCTATCTGAAGGCGTTTCAGGACAGCCGTTGGGCAGAGTGGTTTGTGACCACTTACACCAAGAGCAACAAGCCTGCACATCAGAAGTTCCTGATCTATGTGGAGAAGCAACTGGACGCCGAAGCTGGGAATTGTCCGAGCCCAGACAAGATGAATCCCAGTGGAAGTCAGATGATTACATCCAAGACCAAGACTCCAGTGAAGGTGTCAACAGATCCCAGTCTGATCGAGTGGGACAACGTGTCAGAGGAAGAATTGCCCAACAGTCACGTGATGGATCTTCAGGAGCAGATGACCAACATGCAGGCCAACCATCACAACATGCATCAGAGGATGTGTGGGATCGAGAATGCAATTCAAGACCTGATCACTCACATCAAGGGCATCCAGGTGAAGACCGAGATGTGAGAGTGCTCCGCGACCAGGAGGCAATGAGTCTCCATGCACTAGACTGGGCCAATTCACATTTGAAGGACTTGACAGATCCGACCGAAGTGGAATTCGAATTTCATACTTCCGTTCATCCCCTGAGCTTTTCACAAGGATTTCAAAAGTGGGTCAATATGTTTGAGAAAGAAATTAACATGCTCAGACGACTCAACTTTGATTCAATGCGATCCTCCAGGCTCGATGTGTTGGAAGTCATGTGTTCAGAAAACAGTGAACTTACCAAGCAGGTTCTTCAACTCAATGGAAATGCCCAGCGTTTTGGCCTCAAGGAGGGTGACCTTCGGCAAGCATCCGACAGAATGCGATTGTTCCGACTCATCCTTCTCCGAAAGCCAAAGAGTTTATGGTATAGCCCTGAATGTGGTCCTTGGTCAATGTGGAATTTTCTGAACATGGGTAAATCACTTGAACTTGCAGAGAAATTGATGTACAAACGTTTCCAACATGTGTGGCAGATTGCCTTAGGGGTGGTGTTATATCGGGTACAGGTGTCACAGGGAAACCACTTCCATTGGGAACAGCCAGGAGGTTCAGACATGTTCAAGTTTCCGGAGTTGGAAGAAGTCCAACAATGATGCTACCTGTGCCGTTTTGACTTGTGCCGGGTTGGGAATCTCCAAGATCCCAGATCACATGCTCCAATTAGGAAACGTTTGCAAGTGTTGTCAACCTCAGAGGACATGTATCATGAGATCCATGGAAAATTTTGTCGTCAAGATCATGAGCATCAACATGTTGCAGGATCCACGGTATGGCAAGGAAAATCCATGCCCACGTCAAGGTTCACCCAACATTATCCCCCGAAGTTTGCAAAGACACTTGCCAAAATCATGTTGCATGAGGTATCCAAACCACATGTCATACTTGCCAATCAAGATGAAGATCAGCACCCAACCAAGAAGCGCCGCTTGGGTCAGAAACTTAGCCCACAACAAATCGCCGAACGTTTCCAGAGCCCTTCCTGGCAGACCGTGATGCAAGAAGCGGACAAGATTGCTCCAAGGGTTGGCATCAAGGTAGTCGAACATGGGGCCTTGATAGACCTGGTTAAACGCATGTGTCCTCTTCATGATGTTCAGCATGTGGTACTCTGTAGGGGAACAGATCGGTGTGTAGGACCCAACAAAGCACTTCAAGCCTTTGACGCTCCATTACGTCGAAGGATATGCATTCGGAGGAGACTGGAAACAATTGAAGTGGAAGATGATTGGGAATCATGGAGTAGATTGTCACTGAAAGCCTTGCGGCGGAAAGCCGTGCCAGCCCGCGTGAGTTTGACCGTGTTTGCTCGAGCCAAAGTTCCGGAAGTGCCTAATGACACTGCTCCTCCTGCGAGCCAATCACAGAATGAGCCAACACCTTTGACTCATGAGGTTCCCGAAATGAGTGATGAATCTCCTCCAAAGCGTGCCTGTCGTGAGTCAGCCAAGGAAACACCGGACAGCCCAGAAGGTCAACAAATTCCGCCAAGTGAACAGAGGCATGTTGTTGACTTAGCAAATGAGAAACATGGTCCTGCGTTTTTGAAACTTGGTAAAGAGACCCAGTCATGGATACTGAAGCTCCATCGAAATCTAGGCCATCCTGGTGCTGCCAAGCTTGTGGAATTTTGCAAGCAGTTAGGCTGTCCAACTGAAATTCAGAATGGAATACGAGAGCTGAAATGCTCCACCTGCCAGGAGCAACAGACTCCACAAATTGCTCGGCCTGCAGCAATACATGCACCTGGTGATTTTGGAGACGTAATTTCCATGGATGCGGTGAAGTGGACAAATCAGCAAGGGGAACAATTTGTTTTTTATCATTTTGTCGACCAAAGCACATCATACCAAACTGCAGTAGCTGTTCCATCCACGAGTGCAGGATCAGCCATACACGCATTGTTGCATGGATGGATTTCATGGGCCGGGCCTCCAGGGTTGTTATGTGTAGATGCAGCAACAGAACTGAACTCGGAAGAATTCTCCAAGTTCCTACACAAACATGGCATTCCAGCAAAGACCATCGCTCCAGAGGCTCATTGGCAGAATGCCCGTGCCGAACGCCATGGAGGGATTTTGCAACAAATTCTGAACAAAATGGATGTTGAAGAACCAATTGTCTCAATGGAACACCTAGCAAATGCCTTAGCATTTGCCACCCACACCAAGAATCAATGGAGCCGTCATCGAGGGTATCCACCCGAGCTTCTAGTGTTTGGGAAGTCACGCAGAGTTGTAGGATCGGTGATCAGTGATTCATCCATGGCATCGCACACTGCAGCCTTAGAGGAGTCACCAGATGGTATTCGTTTTCGTGAAGAACTGGCTCTCCGAGAGCGAGCCAGAAAAGCCTTTGCGAGTGTAGATAATCATCAAGTGCTTCGCCGAGCCATGGTTCACCGGAGCCGTCCGTCAAGGGGTAATTACTCCAAAGGGGAATGGGTTATGGTTTGGAAGAAGAGGGGAGAGGCTGATGGTCAATGGCATGGACCCCTTCAAGTGGTGATACAAGAAAGCCCCCATGTGATTTGGGTCACGGGAAGTGGTAAACTTTATCGGGTTGCTCCAGAACATGTGAGACCGCTGTCAGCCATGGAGGAAACCACACATCAGCAGACCTTGGCCTCAGGTCAATCACCCGAAAGCATACTGCCTTCAATCATTCCCAGTCATGGAGGTGTACAATATCACAATTTAATCAATAACTCTACACCAAATAACCAAAGGAACCCAACAAGTAATAACGCTCAGAATAACATGATCAATCAATTACCAGATGTTCAAGTTCCAGAAGAATCACCTGCCACAGAAATCCATCAGACGGAGAGCCCTCATGGACATTCCAATGGCTCGGAACAGCCAGATGATGAACCCGAAATTCAGCCACCAGCCGAAAGCTCAACACCAGACGTGGAACCGAATCATGTGGAAATCCCTGTGCCAGATGACAGTGACACTGACCTGGTCTGTGAAGAATGTTGGCATCTAGAACAAGACCAGGCATGGTGTTTTGAAGTCAATATATGTCAACAAGATATCAACAAGTGGAGACGAGAGACATCTCCACATGAGATGGCATTTCTGGTGTCCGCAGCCAAACGCCAGAGGTCAGAGGTTAAGCTGGCCAACTTGACCCCGGAACAACAGAAACAGTTTGCTGAAGCAAAAGCAAACGAGATTGACAGTTGGCTTGCAACTGAAACTGTAGCCAAAGTCTTGCGCCATCAGATTCCAGCTGAGAATATTTTGAGGTGCCGATGGATTCTCACTTGGAAAGATGTGGAACCCTCAGTATCATCTCCCGAACAACGAACGGAAAAACCTCTGCAAAAGGCCAAGGCCAGACTAGTGGTTTTAGGATACGAAGATCCCCAAGTGGATTCAATTCCTAGGGATAGCCCCACCATGTCAAAATTATCTCGAATGTTAATCCTACAGATGGCAGCCAGCCGTCGATGGACCATAGGTAGCTTTGACATTAAGACTGCGTTTCTCAGGGGTCAAGAACAAGGTTCAAGAATCCTCGGATTGGAACCTCCAATTGAAATGCGACAGCGACTCAAGATGCAGCCTGGGGAAGCTCTGCAGCTTCTGAAAGGGGCATACGGACGGGTAGATGCACCATACCTTTGGTTCCAAGAACTGAAAACAGCCCTGGAAAGTTTGCAATTCAAAGCAGCACCATTTGATCCATGTACGTTTGTGTTGGTAGATGACCAAGGGGTAACTCAAGGAATAGTGGGTGTTCATGTGGATGATGGTCTCTGTTGTGGCTCAGCTCTATTTCATGGAAAATTACAAGAACTCTCCAAGAAATTTCCTTTTGGCAGTCAGAAACAGAAAGAATTTACATTTACCGGACTCCACATCAAACAACAAGATGATTTTTCAATTACAGTTGACCAGCAACAATACATCAAAGACATTCAACCAATTGCACTGTCAAGAGCACGCCGACTACAACAGGAGGATGTCGTGAATGAGAAAGAAAGACAAGCCTTCGGGGCTTGATTGGAAGCCTTTTGTATGGTGCTGTAAACTCAAGGCCAGATCTATGCGCGAGACTGGGGTGGTTGCAAAGCCAGGTCAATAAGGCCAAAGTTGCCACACTGCTGGAGGCTAATCGAATTCTTCATGAAGCCAAAGAACATTCCTCAGTGTCCTTGCGAATACAACCCATATCCATGGATGATTTACGTTTTGTAGCATTTTCTGATGCCTCGTTTGCCTCGGAGAAAGTCCAAGACTCACATCAAGGCATGATTGTCATGGCAGCCCACAAGAACATAGGTCACAATCAAAGGAGTCCCATCAATCCAATTTGTTGGCATTCAAAGAAGATACAACGTGTGACCGTAAGTACACTCTCCGCAGAGGCCATGGCCTTAGCTGGTGCAGTGGATTGCCTGTCATGGGTGCGACTCTATTGGGCTTGGCTTGTAGATGCGAACTGCGACTGGCGTCGGGCAGACAGTTTGTTACAGAAACTTCCTCCAGCTTTTTCAGCAATCCATCAGGATGAAGATACAGATTCATCAGAGACTTTTCCATTGGAATGTCAGGCCTTACTAGAACAAACCAGTGTCAAGGGTATTTTAACCACCGACTGTAAGAGCCTTTTTGATTTAATCAGTCGAACAGCGCCGCCAGCATGCCAAGAATTCCGAACACAGCTACAAGCAAAGCTGATTAAGGAACACCTGCAGAATGGAATACAGATTAGGTGGGTACCTTCAGGAGCACAAATTGCCGATGCCCTCACAAAGATCATGGATTGTTCAATGTTGCGTGCTTGCTTGAAATCTGGATGGTATAGCCTACATGATGAATCAGAAATTCTCCGAGCCAGATCGGATCGTCGATCCCAAATCAAATGGCTTCAGCAAAATGCCGAGCCTTCAAAGATCACTCACCAGGACCAAACATAGCCAGAACCAGCCGGGGATGACAAAGTTCAGTGAAAAGCCAAGTCGTCACTGTTTGTCTTTGGGGTTGTAATCGAAGGTTAATTGAAGATGGAAGAAAGTTATTTCTCAGCGTTTCCAACAATTTTGGCCAACTTGCGTTACTCTGGAAGGATGATGGTTCGAAGGAGCACATCACGAACAAAAGATCTTAGAATGCATGTGAAACCATGCATGATCGTGATGTGCATAGCCCAGGGGTCAACCATGTTTCCCGCCTTCAGCTGGGGAAGGCTCAAGGTGAGCCAGAGGTGGGTGAGGACGTAGCTTTTGCCATTGGCTACTTGCGTTGGACGCTTGGAGGAAAATCAAGGTGCTGCAGCGAGGACGCTGCTGGTGGAATCCACGGTGACGCTGCCAATCTCATTTGAGAATATATATATATATGTATGTATACATATTCTATAGGATATTAATATACTGTACTAATTGATTAAATCTGTAATTAGATTTATATACTTATATAACTATAATAAGAATGATGTTAATAGTAGAGTGACTAGCTAGATGAATAGAACCTATGGTCTTGCGTTGCCAGCAACGGACACACTCAATGGACTTACGGTATTTGTTGTATGTATGAAAGAAACCATACATACGAGATCCCCCAAACCTATGTGAAAAGCAGGGGTTCGATTTTATGTTGGGAAGGGAAGACGATCTTGGTTTGGGGGATTCATACCAGAATTTCCAATCAATTTTTCTTCGACTGAATGTTCGTGCTGTGGCCTCTTGTTGTTTGAGATGAAGATGCTGCACTTTCACTCACCAGAAAAATACGAAGAAACTCTTGACATCACTGGCACTGCCAGGTGCAACTGGTCAAGCGGAGTATAGAGAAGCTCAGGCAACACTGAAAATGGACATGCTTGTATTGAATTGTTTGTCCCGCCTGATGAAAATCATAGTACATCAATCAAACTCACAGCTTTTTGGTGCAAACCTGGGATTTTCAGCTTTTGAGCGCTGGTTGCAACAGATTGTTTCAGGAAAGATAAGCCAAAGTGCAATGTTTTTTGGACTCGCACTTTCCAAAAAAGTGCGTGATGACGCATTTTTGAATGTGACAGATGAACCTTCGTTGCCCTGTTTACTTCCTGATTTCAAGAAATTTCGAAGGTGGGAGGAGGAGCAGAAGACGATCACACTCCGTGGAGAGGCCAGAAACTACTGCTGTTTGCTCGAGCATGTCACTGATCTTCGCCTGGGAGGAAGATCGCAAAAAAGACGAATATTCAACGCCGGCTCCTTAGAAAGGTCATGGATTTCCTCTCCAAAACATCAGTAGCCGCAGTAGCCCCTGTGGTTTTGCTGGCCTGTCAACAAGGAAGTTGTTGATGACTGACTGGCGATGGAGGGAAGTACTGTTGATGGAGCGAAGGATTGTTAGTGGATTTAGTGGCCAGATCCAATTCTTTTCCACCCATGGGGCATTGCGAGCATAGGCAGAAGCATCACGAGCGAGTTGCTTTTGAGACAGCGCAGAAGAAGGCAGCCCCTGGGGCCCAGGGGCCCTCGCTAGTTCTGGAGCCCATAGATTTGGTCATTCAATGTCTGTTCTCCCGGCCTGGCTGTAGTCAGAAGTTACCCATTGTGCCGTTGGAGAGGTCAATTAGTATGGATTCATCAGTTCAGTATCTGTCATCTTTCTTTGACCCCCACAACCAATATCCCATAGCTCATAAATTGCAAACCGAAGAGCAAGTGAGAACAGTGTTCACACTTTTTTTTGTCAGACATTGTTTCACATAGAAGGACATGGACGTTTACACATCTATTTTTTCGTTCGCATTCTTTTGGGTCGGCTGTTATTTTGGGTCGACATGACCTCCGAAGGCTGCTGATCTCGAAGTTCTCAACCAACAGGAGGAGTTGGGACCCCGTCGCTCACGAAACACAGCCGAAATGTGATGGTGATCTGTGGCCCAAGGTCCAACCTCCGGCAGCAAGCGCAGAAGCATAAGGATGAGAAGGACCAAGACTTGGAAGACTTGGAAGACTTGGTGAGGATAAGTGGTGTTGTGTCACAACTTCAAGTGGTTTCACGGGGTGTTTCACGGGTGGAATATCTTGAATCCAGCTAAAGATCAGATCGTCCCAAGACTTGAAAGCCCCAAAGGTTCAGTTCCCTCACCTAAATCCATATTGGGATCGAGAAAATACCGAAACAAATTCCCCATCATTTTTTTTTTGAAGGGGATGAACATCCATAAATACCAGCTATTTTGGTGTGAACACCTCGGAATTTCTTCATTGGAACATCTCCTCTTCCGCTGCGAGGAACTTCTGGAGCTGCGTTTGAAGTCTGACGAACGTCGCGCAGAGTTGGGGGTTCAGGAGGTTCCGGGGGGCTCAAAAAGAAATTCAACGCAAAGTGACGCGGCACTCAAAATGGGTACCCTTTGGCAATCAAACATTGCTAGCTGGGATAACTGGGAACTCACCGAACTAAACGAGGGATTTTTCATTGCCATTGGTTTTGTTCCCGACCACATCAGCCTTAGTGCAGGCCATTGAAAGGGCCAAGATCGAGGAGGAAGGTGCCAACGACTGACTGCTTTCCAAAAAATCTTTGCTTCCACGTTGACTGGAAGAAATACGAGACATACCCCTATTTCATGGTAAGAAACAATGGTTTCACCTAGTTTTTTCTTAAATCAATCCAGTGATGTTCTGGTTTTCAGGTGTTTCACTCTTGCCGGTAGACGGCAAAGACCTGACCCTTGCCTCAATGAGTTTTTCTGTCGGTTGCATGCACTGCCAGGTAAGATCAAAGCTGCTCGAGAAAACGAGGATGTCCGGCCACCAAAAGAGATCCATGTTTCGAGCAGATAGGGATCTGCCCATGACCCCTCTGTTACTTCTAGGTGTATGATAAGCACTGGCGATTCAAAAAGACGAAGTCGCTTGTGGGTAGTTGGTGAACGTGCTACAGCATGCAACTGTCTAACGCCTTTTACTCGCAAACAATCGAATCATGTGGATTTACCCTTCGGTACTCATGCTATAGATATGTATAATATATATATAATATATGTATGTATGTATGGATAATCATCAAACATATCTATGTCATTATCTATAGATAATTATCTATGGATATATATTGGGAATGTCATCATCCCAACTGACTTTCACTCCATCATTTTTCAGAGGGGTAGGTGGCTCAACCACCAACCAGATAGATATGTTTGATGATTTTCGCAGCGATCAACCTCCATTTGTTGATGGGGATTGCAGCCATCCTGTGAGGTGAACACTCGCCTAATGCAAGCGGAACAAGCAGAGAAGCGAGCGCAGATGCTGGCGGCGATACAGGTGGGAAGTCGTAGGGAATCCCTGGGAATCCCTGGTCGTTGAGGTGTAGAAAACATGGGAAACTCATCTACAAATCGGGATTTCACCTGATTTCACATGACTTGACCATCATTTTTAGGGGTTTCAATGGTTTCAAGCATCAAGAATATGGAGATGTAGCTGATAAATGATGTTGATTGGTTGTGATGGGAGGCTCTAGTCCTCAATATATTGTGGATGATCATAAGTTAATCATAAGCCAATATGGGAATCCCGTTTGAGCAACCACTATAACGGAATGACAGAGAATTTTGAACAGGGACCCCCAAAATTGATGGTTGATCATCATTTCCCCTATTCAAATTGCTAATTTTCAGAGACCGTGGCTGATCATGAGGGGATCAACCCCAATGATACAAACCTGCCGGGGTCTTGAACACTGGGTAAAATTCTGGGTCAAGAGTTCCACACATTTTAACATAAATAAGATCACCACATATCTTCAAATATCGACTGGCTCTCTTGGAAAGGATGGGGTCAGGGTGTTGTGACCGTTGTGACGTGCCATTTTGGTTCCAAGAGTCAAATGATCAATTGAGAAAGCGGACAGATGCCAGATTCTTCACTCAGGAAATTGCTGGCCTTCCCTGAGGGCAGTTGGCAAGAGACAATTGCTCCTCAGCAATTTGTTGGGAGTCAGGTCTTCCAAACGAGACCCCGAAAGGTCCAGGTAGGGAGCACATGAATAGCACCAGTGCTCTTGTGCATGACAGGAGTTTTTGTTTCGTATGGTTGTTGGTTTGGCAAGTCCAGGTTCACGTTGTATGGTCCCAACACTCTGCAAGAATCAGCCTTGAGCCATGGCTATGTCTGCAATGTCGAGTTTCAGCGAATTGCCTCACGTGGTCAAGGGCGTCCACCAGGACTTCAAATCCATCGCTGGAATGGGCACCAATTTCCCTGGCGGTGATGTCATGTATCAGAGCCTTTGGCGGAAAAATGGTGGCGATTTGAACCTTTGGCCTAAGGAAGAGCGATTTTACAAAGGTCCTCGCCTGGGAGAATATTCGCGTCCCATCATCGTGAACCGAAATGTCCTGGGCTATTTGAATCAATCTCCCGTGCCACTGAGTGCTGCAGAGGACGAGCTTAGCCTCGTGGCACACTCCAACAGTGCAGCCAGACGTGCCAGGGCCCATGCGGAATACGCTCGGCAGGCGGCGGAAAAGGCCGAAGCCTTCTACGAGCTGGCGAAGCGCCGTGCGCGGGCACTCTTCTTGCCGGATCCGCCGATCAGTGTGAAACCCACTGCAGATGTCTATCCCATGTACTCCGCAGGCTGCCAAAGTGCAGATCTTTTGGCCCTTGGCTCGCCATTGCCGATGTCTCAAGACACGAAAGGCACTGGGAGGCAGTTCTTGTAGCGCCTCAGTGGAAGAAAAGATTATATAGTTGATTTCCAGCTTTTTGACCGTCTTTTTTCGAGGGGCTCCATTATGCCATAGTGATAATCCCCATACTGGATAGATCTGGATAGATCTGGATAGATCTGGATAGTACAATAGTACAATAGTACAATCCCCTATAATCAACCATCAGAGATCACCACTGGAAGGCCACTGCCACGGTGGCATCTGATTGGGTGCACGCCGTGCTGGAGCTTAGTGACTTAGTGACCTTCACGAATTCTCTGCGTTGAACCACGGCGCGCTGGCTATCCATCCGATTTGGGGATCAGTAAAGGTCCAGAAGATCAGAGATTTGGGGCTTGACCATCTTGACCCATTTCCATTTCACTGAAACGTCAGGTTTGCCGCGTTGTGAATGTCCCGAAACGTCCTGAGGTTTTTAGTTCAGCCACCAACTTGGCTTTGTTGATTGGCTCCATCGTCCTGCCCTTGGAAATCCAATGATGTCAGTAAACCAGGAGTCGGAGATCTGACATGCCATAGGTTCAAGAAAACAGGATTCAAGAATATTCAAGATATATAAGTTGTTCAATGCTTTTTAGAGTTTTTTTTCAGTTTTTCAATGCTTTTCAATGTCCCACCAAGCTGTTGGAAAATGACAGGTGACCTGCCTGGGAGGTATCTACCTGGCCACTTGGTGCTGATTCGAATGGATTGGGATGAAGATGTCCATCACCGGGGGGACACATGGACGATGACGATGGTAGTGGTTTATTACTGTAATGTTTCATGGTTATCAATGGTTATCAATGGTTATTGATGATGATGATGATGATGATGATGATGATGATGGATTACTACTACGATTGCTATTATCAGTATGATATAGTATGATTATGATTATGCTCATAATAATATAGTAGTATTACTATTATCATCATTTACCAGCATTGTCATCTCATCATTTTTTGTTTTTCCATCTTGCTGGCAAGGTCAGAGAGATGGCCATTCTGTTGAGGGAGCAGCTCAACAAGCGATTGGGAAGGCTGCGGGATCCGTGGGATTGTTCAGGCGAACGAGCCACCGAACGCCACCGAACGAGCCAACGCTTCAGGCCATCACTGGTGCGTATGACCAACCGTAGGGGCACAATGCAACAAGTTGGCATTGGCATCCTTAGATTGTCGGGGTCTCAGCCAAAACATCCGCACAAAAAAATTAAAAAAACAAGGGTGAACCGGGTTCCGGGAGGGTGTTAAGTTCGTTTTTCTAAAATATCGATGTTCGTGGGTGAGCAAAGAGAGGAACTGCAGCACTTTCAGTCCAGGTCAGTGTGAAAAGAACCGAAGAAACATGCTTTTATATTTGGATCATTATGATTCTTGATCTTTATATTTCTTGTCAATTCACCAAAACTGAACATCTTGTCATAGTTTCCTGGATTCTTGCGTTTGAAACCTACTGTATGTCTTTCGCCAGGTGCACAGGTGTCTTGACATTCCCTTTAATCTATTCCTTTCAGCTTTTGATTTTGAAACATCACTTTTTGGACCTCTTTTGCGGGAAATAGTGATTGACCTCTACAAAGAGTTGCTGCCTTAGATTCTGTGAAATGTGCTGGCAAAAGATGAACAGATCCACTATTTTCATGGATTCGACCAAATTGGGGAGGGTTTACTATTGCTTTACTAAGATTCTGACCCAATACTCAAAATAGAAAACCAATGCTTTCTGTGGAATTCGATGGTAGGAAGGGAGATTTTTTGGGAACCGGAACTGGCTCAGGTTGAGACTACGACCGCCGAGAGGAGCCGAGTTCAATGACGTTGTGCTTCATCCGAAGCTGCGGCAGCAGGCGAGGCTGGTGAAAATCCATAGACATTCCATCAACAATCCATAGAAATTCCATAAACAATCCATGGAAATCCATTGAAAAAACCAACGGAAATCCATGGAACATCCATGGAACATCCATCGATTTTCTGATGATTTTTCGTCATTTTCGGCCGCGAGGTGATGCGCTTGGCAGATGCAACGTCTTCTGCCAAAAGACGACGTGATGCTCTCGGGAGTTTCTGACCTGGTGAGGGGTGCCAGGACGTAAACATGGTAAACCCAATCAATAACCCATCCCCAATAAAGGTTTGTCAATGTTTATATCATATATTCTCATATTTTATGATTATTATGATTGGGTTTATTGTCAATTCTCCAGTGATATCCAAAAAAATAGCTAGAGATCCACTGATATCTAGGCTTCTGTCCATGAAAGCGTCGCCGGCTCCTACCTGAGGCATGCCGCTGCAGCACGCCATGTTCTACGGTCCACCCGGAACGGGGAAGACCATGGTAGCTCAGCGCTTCGCTGAGTACTCAGGTGTGGTGAAAAACATGTGAAAACCTGTGTGCAACGCCGGTTTTGTATAATCAACCGTTGAATAACGTATAGATCATGCTTGTATAATATATATATATATATGTAATATATATATATATGTAATATATATATATGTAATATATATATATGTAATATATATATATGTAATATATATTGATTCGGGACACGTACCCTCATAAACCATGAGGTGTATGTACCTTGTTTTGGCTCAAGTAAAATAGGAGTGTTGCAATTTTCTGATCATGGTAGCGGAGCGCTCGGTTAAGCTCCAGTAGATGCAAAACCTTTGGATCCCCATCGAAACCCTTGGTGACAGAGTGGTAAGGTTGTGGTACCGGTTGGTTAACAGGTTGTTCAGGATCCGCAGGTTGCAGAGGTACTTCGGCCACTTGGGGCAGCACCTACAGGACTTGGTGCAGACTTCGGAGTTCAGGCGACGGCTGCTGAACTCTCGGTTGACTCGACCGGGAGTTGCATACGCTGAGCCGGAATTGCCTGAGGAGCCGTGATGGCGACCATGGAGGAGATCGTGGCGCAGATCCAGACGTTGCGGCAGGAGCTGCAGGAGAGCCGAAGGAGAGAAGAGGACCTGAATACCAGACTCCAGGCAGTGCAAGCTTCAGGAGCGGTTCAGGCAACTTTGGAGGAGATGGTGAACACGCAGAAGGCCATCTTGGAAGCATCTAAGAAGCCTGACAGGAAATTGACTTTGGTAGACAACCGCGGGTTGGCAAAACCAAACAACTATGATGGAAGTGCGGATTTCTTGCAATGGAAGATCCGACTTGAGGCGTTTGTGGAGTCAGTCCATGACGACTTTGGGAAAGCTATGGCTTGGGCGGAAGATGAGACCGACCCAATCAGCACCTCTTCAATGTCAGCCGAGTTTGGAGACGTCAATCCTGCTCAGGAGACAATTCCAGACTTGGAAGCCAAGGATGCGCAGCTTTACGCAGTCCTTCAGACGCTCTGCGAGAAGGAAGCGTTCACGCTGGTTAGAAGCTCAGGGAAAGGAAAGGGCTTAGAGGCTTGGAGGAGACTTTGCAAGAGGTATGACCCGTCGACAGGAGGACGCCGACGAGCGTTGCTCCGTAGCGTGCTCAGTCCTAACCGTTGTGGCAAGGTGGAAGAGTTGAGCGCAGCGGTCGAAATTTGGGAAGACCAGGTTAGACAATACGAGACTCGACGCAAAACTGATGGCACCAGGCCAACGTTGGATGAAGACATAAAGATATCGATCTTAGAGTCGATTTGTCCGGTTGAGGTTGAAAGGCATCTTCAACTTAATCAGGCACGATTTGCCGATTACCAGGAGGTACGCAAAGAATTGTCGACCTACTTGGAAACGAGGATCGGGCTGAAACTCAAGGCAGGTTCATACGTTGACACCGGAGGAGTCCAGCCGATGGACATTGGAGCCTTCGGTAACGACAAAGCCAAGAAGGTTTGTCACAACTGCGGAAAGCCAGGTCACTTCAAGTCCGACTGCTGGGCACCAGGTGGAGGAAAAGCTTCTTCGCAGGGAAAGTCTGGTAAGCAAGGAAAAGGGCAGAAAGGCGGTCAGCAGTCCAACTCAGGTGGAAAGAAAGGATCTCCAAAGGGATCGAAAGGAGGAAGCAAAGGAGGTGGAAAGACCACCAAAGGCAAAGACAAAGGCAAAGGAAAGAACAACAAAGGTAAAGGAAAAGCTATGGGCAATGTTGAGGCTGAGAAGGAACCAGAAGCTGAGGAGCAGGCCGGGTCTTGGGATGCCAGTGGATGGGAAGGTCATGATGAATCCGGTTGGAACAACTGGACTGAAGGCGGTCAGGGCTCAAGCCTGGAGGGTAATTACCTTTCTCTAGGCGCGTTGCACCGTCCCGCCATGGTGACCAAGCGGCATAGCGATTCCGAGAGCCGCTCGGGACTTGCTGACAGCTTGGTTGCAGCACTAAGGAACCTCCCACGTGGCACAGATGCCGGGTTGCGAGACTCTGGAACTGGTTCTTCCGGAGATCGCTCGGTCGATATGATGATGAGGTTGATCGACGAGAACTACAGGCTGCGTGACCAGCTGAGGGCCCAAGGTGACCAAGAGCAGAGAAGCTCAGAACGTGACAGGAGCCGTCGAAGACGTTCCTCACCCCAAAGGGAACCAGAGCCCGAAGAGAGATCCCGTGACAGGTCAAGGCGCAAGCGGCATGACTCCAGGCCGAAGCGCGATCGTGATGATGACCGACATGGGAGACGCAGGGCCAGAAGTGAAAGCAGCGGCAGGAACAGGGAGTTGGTTGACAGAACGGCCACTCCGAAGAATGCCGCAAGGCGCAAGAGCGAGACTCCAGCGGCCAGTGACAGAACAGTCAGCCGAACCCCAAGGGGTAGCGTTGGCGACTACTTGAAGAGTAAGGCCGAAGCCAGAAGGGCTGGTGAGGCAAGATCTCCGGCCGCTTCGGTTGGAGACTTGCCGCCCGGCATGAGGACACCCAGAAGTCCTCCCGGGCCACCTCCGCACAAGCGGAAGAAGCTCGAGATCAAGCCAGAGAAGAAGAACGAGGTCGAGCCGGAGGAGCGCACCGACGCCAAGAACACGAAGCCTAAAAGTGAAGGGGCGCCAGCTATCAAGGCGAAGCCAAAGCCCAAGACGAACTCAGGGCTCACCAGCGGTTCACTCTCGGTGCTTCGTGGCACGCTTGCCACACAGCTGATGCTGGATGCCGAGAAGACCAATGACCCCGAGTTGAAGAGGGAACTTGAGCGCCAGAAGAACGAGCTGCAGCAGCGTGCACCGAGAAGGTCAGTGGCAATCACGGCGGACAACCTCAATGACCAGTCATTCCATGATTCCAGGTACTATGCGGATGTCGCGTCTGGCAAGGCGCACCACATCGCTTGGAAGAACGAGAAAGGCCGCCGTAGAGCCATCTTAGACCGTAAAGATGGTGTCATTGACCGCGCCAGGGAGCGCATGCGCCTGGATGCGGAATGGCATGAAGAGCACGCTCAGCTGAACTCAGGTTCCAAGAAGCAAGATGTGGAAGGTCTTAAGGCCGATGTGGAGACCGAGATCATCGACGAGAGGGAGCGCGACAAGGATAAGCCCCTGGAACCTCAGAAGGAAGCTGTGGCTTTGAGCCGCCGGGAGAAGGAATCCTTCCGGCAGTTTCCCAAGGACGAGCAAGAGACCTTGGATAAGCCCACAAAGAGGAAGGAACAAGGGCCGAGAATCAGAGGGCCCGACTACTACCGTCGGAAGAATGCCGCCCGACGTGAAAGACAGAAGGCCGAGAAGGCCGAGCAACGAGCAAAGGAAAAGGAAGGTCGAGACCGTGACCGACGACACGGATGGGATCCGGAAGAAGATGAAGACGATGGTGGTGGTGACACTGAGAGTAACAGCAACTACCTCAGTTCGCTCTTGGCTCCTCTGGGTGGATCGCCTGGAGAGCCACACGTGGTGGAAGAGCGTGATGGATGGAGGAAGATTGAAGTGAATCTGGACACGGGAGCCGCTGCGACGGCGATCCCGACAGACTTGAACCTGGATGGACATGCCAGGACCCCACCGCAGGACGTCAACTACAAGACGGCGTCAGCGGAGTGCCTTGCTGACGAAGGTGGTGTAGTGCTCAAGGGCACAGATGTCTACGGAAGTGCCAAGGTGTTGGAAGGGCGTGTGACAGGAGTCCACCGCACTTTGGCGTCAGGCGCAAAGGTTGCGCGACATCACTATATGGCGCTGGGAGCACATGGAGGTCAACTCATTCCCAGGAACTCCCAGGCTGGAAAGGAATATGCAGCCTTCATGGAGAAGCTGCACAAGAAGCACAATTGCATGACACCTGTCAAGGTCCGCAATGGGATCTATTTGATGGACTTTTGGATCGCACCGGGCACCTCGGAAGGCTCTTTTCACGGGCCTCCCGAACGGGTGTAAGTCCGGAGCTGCAGCCACTGGACGATGAAGGTGCTCCAGCCGCATCGGCAGGAGACCTTGGTGGCGATGAGGCCGCAGAAGACGGCCACCAGTCTTCAGAAGAGATTGGAGAAGAACAGAGGCAGGTGATCGTGAAGCGGTCCCCGGCAGATCCTACCGACCGAGAAATACAGGAGCACCGTGCTGCTGGGCACGTTGTTCACCGAAGCTGGTGTCTTCACTGCCAGAGGGCTCGGGTAACGGGCCAACGCCACAGAAGCGGTGACCCAGCTCGGGATGAGGATGGTAGGATGCCGTATGTTTCACTAGATTACTTTTACTTGAATTCAGGGCAGGAAAAGAGTGACGCTGATGGCATTTTGCCTTGCTTGGTTGTGAAGTGTCACAAAACTGGGCGCTATTGGGCAAATGTAGTTCCATCAAAGGGTGCAGAATTGTTCGCAGTTGAATGGTTGAAGTCTTGCCTCAATGAAACAGGTTTCAAAGAACTATGCCTGAAGAGCGACAACGAGCCGGCGATCATGGCTTTGAAGAATAAAGTGAAGGAGGAAAGCAGGTTAAAGATTCATCTTGCTGAGGCGCCGGTGGAGGATCACCAGGCGAACGGCTTCATTGAGGTCGCAGTAAGAGAAGTGAAGAGACAGGTCAGGGCGATGCTGTCTGACCTTCAGGAAAGGCTTGGGTTCGAGGTGGAACCGAGTCACCCATGTATGATGTGGCTGCCACGCCATGCAGCCTACCTCCTCACCAGGTTCCGGATTGGACCGGATGGAAAGACACCGTATGAACGGACCTTCGGAAGAAGCTGGAGGATACCGTTGGTAAGTTTTGGGGAGCATATCTTGTTCAGGCCAAGACCCCCAAGAGACGGACGACGTCATGACCTCGCACCAAGAGTGTCCATGGGAATGTTCGTGGGCACAGGACTGCGCAATAACGACATCTTCGTCATGACGGCAAGAGGAATTGTCAAAGGAAATACAATCACTCGAAGACCTCCTGAGGACCAGTTCAAGTACGAGAATTGGAGTGAACTCCGGGGTGTTCCTTGGAGACTCCAATCGCGTGAGGCTGGCGAGGTTCGAGTTGACTTGCCAGTGGTTGTCGGGCCGTTGAGCCGACCACCAGCTGAAGAAGTGATTCCACGGAATCTTTATGTGACGAAGAGCGACATCGAGAAGTACGGTCGGACCCCGTTGTGTCCGGGATGTGAGGCGCAGTTGCTTGAGACAGGGCGCAGGGCCCACAATGCCGAGTGCAGGTTCAGAATCGAAGGTGAGCTCATGAAGTCCGAAGAAGGGAAGAAAAGGATTGAAGCAGCAAAGGCAAGAATAGAATCAGGGCGTCGCCCCAAAGCTCCTAGAGTCGGAGGAGGGGCAGACGAATCAGAGGTTGTGGAAGCTGCCAACGTTCCTGCGTTGGTAGGCATTCCAGAGCCTGATGCCGAAATGGCCTCGGGAGAAGCTGTTGGAGAACCATTGGAACGAGTCGCACCCCGCGAGCTTGAGGAACGAGAAGAAGAGCCAAGAAGCCCAAAGAAGCACAAGTCCGGCGCCAGTCGGACAAAGAGAAGCCCAGAAGCAGATGTTGAGGAGTTGCATCAACAGATGCAAGAAGAAGTTCCAGCAGAAGGAGCAGCTGAGTCGGGACCAATTCCGGCTGCCGGGAGCAATGACCCCCGGCCACACATGCCGCCAGTCGCACCTCCAGATGCTTCACCAGGAGGAGACGACATGGTAGACATCGGACATCTGTCCATGTGTCTTTGTTCAGTTTTGAGGGAAGCCCGGAAGAAAGGCAATGTGCAGAAGACTGTTTCAGAGATCTTTTCACCCCCAAGAGTTTCAGCGCAAGCTCAATTGGTCGGTTTGCGACCTGGATTCGCAATCGATCTCGAAACAAAGAGAGAGGATGGAGATCATTGGGATCTCAGCAAGGATTCACACATTGAAGACCTTTTTACGCTTTTGGACAAGGAGAAACCCAAACTTTTAGGTGGTTCACCGCCATGTGGACCATTCTCGCAACTTCAGAACCTTGTTGACGCCAGGAACCAAGTCCCCGCGTCAGTTAGGTCAAAGAGACTTCAAGAAGGTAAGAAGCACCTGAGAACCTCAGTGCGTGCTTACCGCGCACAGATGGACGCAGGTCGTTACTTTCTTCACGAGCACCCAAAGGGCGCACGAAGTTGGGAAGAGCCAGAAGTTGAAGAACTACGCAAAGATCCCCGCGTATACGAAGTCACAGGACCTATGTGTCGTTGGAAGATGGAATCCTCCGATGCATGGGGCAAAGGCCTAGTCAAGAAGGAAGCCAGGTGGTTGACCAATTCGCGACACATCGCGGCGATACTATCTGGTGTTTGTTCGAATGTTGAAGGAAAGACTTGGCATAGACATGTGAACCTCATCAACGGCAGGGCGAGATCAGCACAGGTATATCCCCCACTGTTGGTTCGAGGAATACTGGAAGCTCTTAGAAATCAACTGGCTGAAGACGGTGAATTCAGTCAAGCTTTGAATTCCCTCGGTGCTGGGCCAGTACCAGATGCTGTTCCAGTCATCGACGAGGAACAAGAAGTTTACGACAGTTTACCTCCCGCCGATTTGCCAGTCGCAGGACCAGTCTATGATTCCAACACCGGAGCGGAGTTGGATCTAGCTAAGGTAGCAGCTGCGAGACGCGAAGAACTGGATTGGGTGCAGAAGCAATGCATCTATAAGAAGGTGCCTGCAGAACAGGCACGCGCTGCTGGGAAAGTTCCCATCACAATGAAATGGGTCGATCGCAACAAGGGCGACCTGGACAGACCAAACTACAGGTCTCGGATCGTCTGTCGCGAGATCAAACGATCCAAGAATGCGGACTACATCCCAGAGCATGCAAGCTTTAGTGCAATGCCGCCACTTGAGGCTCTGAAGATGTTACTGTCACTCATGGTAACTCTCCGAACCTCAAAGCGCAATCGAAAACCTCTCAAGTTACGCCTACTGGATATCTCCAGGGCGCATTTCTACGGACATGCGCAACGAGAAATCTTTGTGACTCTTCCAGAAGGTGATCAAGAAGAAGGTATGGCGGGACTGCTGCTGAAAAGCATGTATGGGACGCGCGATGCCGCCCATATCTGGCAGCAATCCTATACAGATGTGCTGCTTGCAGCAGGGTTCAAAAGATCCGCTGCATGGCCAGCAATCTTCTTTCACGAACGCTTGGAAGCAAGGCTGCTAGTCCATGGAGATGACTTCGTCGTTCTGGGCGATGACGCAGCGCAGGAGTTTGTGGAGAAAGCACTAAGAGAAAAGTACGATCTTCGTGTCGATGGAAGCATTGGCGTAGGAGAGGCAAAGCAGGAGTTTTGTGTCTTGAACCGTCTCGTACGTTTCGACGAGCGGTCAGGATCAATCTTCTACGAGCCAGATCCACGTCACGCCGAGATCTTGCTCAAGGATTTAGGCATGGAGACGTGCAAGCCAGTCAAGAGCCCAAACGAAAAGCTAACTGCAGAAGCGCTAGCCAAAAGGTTAGAACTGGATGTGGTTGATCCGCACAGGATCAGTCAATATCGTTCGCTCACTATGCGAGCAGCGTTCTTAGCCCAAGACCGTCCTGATTTGTCAGAGACAGTCAAGTGCCTCGCACGAAAGATGCAAGGACCCACCGAAGCTGATTTCGGTGACCTGAAGCGTCTAGCTAGGTATTTGAAGGGCAATATGCGAATGGTGCAGAAGTTCACTCCGCAGAAGTTCAGCAATGTTGTGTCAGTTCATGCTGACTCGGACTTCGCAGGCTGTCTTCTCACTCGGAAGAGTACTACAGGTCTAGTCTGTTACTATGGGCGACACACTTTGCGCCACTCGAGTAACCTACAGTCCACAGTCAGTCTTTCATCAGGAGAAAGCGAATACTATGCCTTGGTCAAGGCAGTGGCTTCCGGAATGGCAACCCAGGAGCTACTTAGAAGCTGGGGCATTAACGTGAATCTCCAGGTGTACACTGACTCAGCTGCAGCACTTGGAACGTGCAATCGGCTTGGACTTGGGAAATCGAGACACATACAGACCAGATACCTCTGGATTCAGGAGAAGTTGGCCGAGCGATCGTTCGAGCTGATCAAGATCGACACCAAGCTGAATACCGCCGACATCTGTACCAAAGCATTGGCAAGCGAAGCTGCAGAACGACATCTGAAGGCAATGGGTTTCGAAGTAGTTCAAGGACGTTCATCAATAGCGAAGGCTGTTGTGTAGTGTCCCAAAGTGGACAATGGCCTAAATCACCCACTGTCCAGGAGGGGTGATTCGGGACACGTACCCTCATAAACCATGAGGTGTATGTACCTTGTTTTGGCTCAAGTAAAATAGGAGTGTTGCAATTTTCTGATCATATATATATATATATATGTATAATATACTGTTACTGTATATGATATTCGCAGTATATTATAGGATCTTACAATATACATACATGACAAACATATATTGTATATACAGCAGCTTGTGCCAGGTCTTGAGTATGCCATCATGTCGGGTGGCGATGTAGCACCACTCGAAGAGCAAGCGGTCACCGAGCTGCACAAGCTCTTCAGGTGCGGTCGCCAACACACATGGGGGTTTCTTAAAAAGGGGGATCCACAAGTCACCACCGGTTAACCAATACTAAGTTATGGTCATCCATGACTTGGATGATTTGGGGTGGGAAACCTCCACATGTTTCTCATCTTCTTGGCTTTCAACTTAGCTTCCAACGTCGGATTTCGTCGAGCTTTTGGCGCCAACCAAGGCACCAGGATACATGGTCCCCCATGCCATCGCAATGAGACACACGATGTGGTACACCCAATCATCAACATTCCCCAGCAAGCGAACATTTGGGGCTCATATTTTACAAGATCTTACAATATCTTACAATATTACACATATTCCAAAAAAGGGTATATCCCATACTAAACCCTGATGGGGGATTGGTTTAATTAGTGGGTTCACCTCATTTACAGAGATTCCAAATTCCAATTTTTCACCACGTGCAGGTGGGTTCATAGAAGCAGCAGAGGAGTGCTCCTCTTTATCGATGAGGCCATGGACCATGTGGAATGATCGACGTGAAATTGGCGACATGGACCTGAAAAACTGCAGATGACAAACAGAGATATATTTTTTTGAGTTGAAATGTTTGCTGAATCCAATCCCAGTTTGTGGGCATTTGGAACCCACTGCAGGGTTTGGACTTTTGGATGGTTTTTTTTTTTGAGTCTGTGCATGGCTCACGGTTTATTCGCAGGCCGATGCATTTTTGGCATCAAGAAAAAACTCAGGCAGGGCAATTTGGCATGGCCTACGGGGCCTACGGCTCCATCGAAAAATCCCTGGAAAACAGTGGATTTTTTGGAAAACTACACGACTACCCGACTACCTGAGAATCCCAAAAAATGGGGGCCCCTGATTTTGTGTTGACCCAAATCCTTGTGCCCATCAGTAGACTCAGTAGACATGTTGCATCCCCACGAAATGTGGGATGTTAGCTGTACGACAGGTATGAGTGAGACGATGAGAAATGCTCTTACCACGAATCTCTGAAGCACATGGGTTCCAGGGGACATTGGTTTGCTGACACAGCTGACACAGCGGACTTTGTTCGCTCTGGTGAGCAACCAAGGATGCTGTACCACACAGGCGCGTCAGCAACTTTGCATCTTGGAGCTTGATTTTTTTTTTAACACTCACTCGCAGAATGTTCCTTGAAGATCTTGGGAGACCCTTGGGGGAATTGGAACCAGGCACACCATCTTCCCAGTTCATGCTGGTGGGAGCTCTTGGAAAAGGGAAGGGCAGCTCTTGAGTCAGAGGGACATGGCTGTGGAAATGATTGCCTCCAAAAGGTCAGAACAATGTCCTTCAAAGATATTCAAAGGTATTCAAACTATCCAACAGAATTGACAGAATGCAGCATTTTACCAACCCATGGGCTTGGGGCTTCAACATTCTTCATTTGTCTCGATCGATCTTCTGGATCTGTCAGATCGCGATGACTGTCAGATGAAAACTGAGGTCATTGCAACCAACAGACCGCACGATCTAGACAGTGTTGATGCCTCAGAGAAGGAACGTCACTGTAACTCCTTGGAACCTTGGAACGTCAAGCGCTGCAGTGGTTGGTGATCCCAATGAACTATCGCCTGAGGCCATTCTGGACCGCTTGGACGAGAGCGTGGAGTTTGGTTTGCCTGACCTAGATGCCAGAAAGGCCGGCGATTCAGCATCGATAGGCCCCCCAAAAATCCACTGCTGAGTTTCAGAAAAAAAGTAGTTTAAGTATTGTCCATGGGGACTTCGTCCCATTTTTCGGGGTACCCATTGGATAACTCCATGTCGCCCTTAACGTTGCTTTTCCATCGCTCGGGGCAGCTCTGCTCGTTGTCGCAGGGCATGGTCCAGCTGTACTATGACAAATACATAGCAAAGCCGCTGAGACTACCTACTGTCAGGCTGGATATGGCTGAACCGATGGTGAACCAGGGACTTGATGGGACTTGTGGTGGTTAGTCCAAGTTTTCAGGAACTTGCCAAGTTTTTTAAATCATTGCCATCTCTTCAGCCTGTTTGGCCACACAAAGAGCTGGATCTTTTTCTGCTGTTTGTGTCGGATGCCACGGCTAGTGCGACCACAACCATGCTGCGGAAGCCTCCGCCGGGAACTCAAGTCATCGACAGGTGGAAGCGCCATATCTTGAAGCATGAGCCTATCTAGTTGCATAATGCTTCGCTTCGCTTCGAAATGATGTTTTTCACGCAACACAACAGCTTAAGCTCGGGCGAGCTTCGGCACTTCCATCCCTCAAATAACTGAAAATCAGGCCTCAAATTGGATCAATCCCAAAAGTTGGAATGATGAAATTGATTCATATGGATTCCATGGATCCTCAGGGTTCAAGTCAATGGCTTTCGAAGTCGGCCAGAGGCTCAGTGGCTCAGTGCTACCGAAACGCTTCCAGGCATTCGGTGAGTTTCTCTGTGTCCGAGGCTTCCAGGTAGTCTGAGGCCACAAATACCCAGGCTGCGGGTACATCAGGCAGTGACTCAACGGTTGGAAATGAGTTCAAAGATGATGAAAGATGCACAGCATGTCAGCATAAAGTCCATAGAGCCACATTTCCTCTATGGATTTGTATGGTAAATCAAGGTAAACTATACTAATTTATGGCTCTTCAAATGCTCACTTGCTCGTCGTTACCACCCGTGGGAGATGTGAAAACCAACATTTTGGGTAGTCCAAACCCTCGTAGCTTTTTGTCTGACTCAGCTGGGATCCTGTGATTTATGGATGTTCATTCCCAAAATGCGAGTTGTTGTAATCCCTTTCCCTAATGTGAAATATTCCCAAACAAAACCTTGGTTTAGTACTGGATAAAGTCGGATAAAATCATTTCGGGTCCCCATATTGGAGGTATTTCATATGAGGGAAGCATATAATATAATATCCAAATATGTTAGATGATTGGTGATAGAAGTTACGTATTTACAGAAATATATATATATATTTATATATTGTAATATACATATCATCCCATTATATCCCAATAACATGCAAATATGGTACATTGATAAGTTATATTTGTCATCATATGTTTCATATGTCCGCATGGCTGGTTATGGTTGACCCATCCCCACAGGGAAGAGGAGGTGGATGAAGCTGCGATGGCTGTTGTGGCTGAGAGGATTAACGGGTTCAGTGCCTCGGACGATGCGGAGCTGGTGAAAACCTGGTGAAAACCATCGCGCAATGTATACATGTACATATAGGCATATATATATATGTATGTATACATACACACATATATATATGTGTGTGTGTGTGAAACATCTGAACAGATGTAAAACTTCTTCCTAACTGGTATTGTCATTAGATGCTGGGGGGCAGTGAATCTCATTCCATCCACTGCCCAACGAAGACGGTGGTTTGAGATTGTGATATCGGGACTGATCATCCCGACGTACCTGCAAAGCATGTCAATTTCTGGAGATCTACCTTGGATCCATAATCCTGTTTAATTGCACGTTTTGGGATTCAGTTCCCGACGGATCACTCCAATGATCCAGTTCTTTTCTAGTGTGCATTGGGTAATACAATTACTTATATACATACATATACTGTACACATATCCACTGTAAGTCTATGCACCACAGATTACAGAACTACTCAAAGATGGATAAGACAGGGGAGGGTTCGGGGTTGTGCCAATGATAGCCAGCAATCAAGGGCTGGCGGTTTCACCATTTCTTTTCCAGCAAAAGAGGCGACTCTGACTTTGCAGCTTCTGAAAATGGCAGTTGGTTCCAAAATTGGACAGCCCCCACATGCCAAGAGAATTTGTATTTTTTTTCTCTCCAGGAGTGAATCAATGTAGACTCTGGTGTCTATCATCAAATCTTGGGGTTTCTATATCAAACACCTTGAAATTTACATCTTGAAGAAAAATATCATGGATCCATAGGATTTCGAACCGCTGAGGTGGCCGAGAAATCTCGAAACTCTTTACCTCGCTTCAGACGTCGGCTACATAGTTTCCACCACAGATGTCTTCTTTTGTTGTTGTTGTGGTTGTCGGGAGATCACTACAGGAAACCCATGGAAACCCTGGTTTTGCCATTCCTGGCCGGTTGATGCAACAGGACAGCATTGGTTTCCAAGCTGTGTCTTTAATGCCGAAGATGCGTTTGCAATATATGGGGGGGGCACCCCCATTTATGGAAACCCTCATATCACAATGATTTGCAGGACGATAAACCATAACTAATTAACCATTATCAACCAGAATTCACCATTATTAAACATTATTAAGCACTTATTAACAATGATTAACCAATCATTAGCCATCACTCACCATAGTATCCATTTTTTCGCGTTTCGGATTTCCGGAAATTTTCAGCATTTTCAGCAAGGCATGTCCTCTACAGCGATAGAGCGCATGGAAGAGCGATATGCACCAAGTCGATGTTGCTGGAGGTGGGCGTCACTCTGGTGCTGAGACTGACTGGTGCTGAGGGGTTTAAGGGGGAATCATCCCATTCTTGGATTGGTTTTATTGGGAAAATCGAAACCGGAAACCATCGATTTTCCCAATCATCCCATTCCCCCCATAACAATTCACCAGTAAGATGATCAACCCCACCGACATGTTGTGCCCGTGGCTCTCGTCTCGTCTTCAGGTAGTTGACCAGAAGGTCGCGGAACATGGCCGGAGTCATGAATTCCAGGCCGGAACACCTGCCAAAGCTGTCCATGTCAGTTGGATGACGTTCTCCTACTATGACCTGACCTCTCCAGTGGTCCAAGTGGTCCTAAGAGGTATATATATATAAAATTATATATATATACATAATTATACACGTATATATATATATATATACACATAATTATATATATATATATATACACATATTATATATAATATGCGTGTGTGCCCAAGCCTGTCTTCAAACGGGGATTGATCACGTCCTTTTTTTCTTTGGAACTAGAGATGTCAGTTGTTGGCATTCCCCATATCTTTAATTCTGAGGTACACGATTTCGAGCCGTCCCCAAATTGGTCCTGTTTCCAGTTGGTTCCCTTTGCCCTTCGGTCAATCTGTGGCTTACTTCTGTTTTTTCTGACGTCATTTTTTTTTGGCGCAGAGGGATTTTGGGTACAACTAGCAGATTACAGAGATTCCACAGATTTCATGGTCATGGCCATCCAGATTACATTCATTTCAGTCTGGTCATGGCCGTCCATGGCCATCCATGGCCATCCGCCTGGCAGACCACTGGCTATGAGTACCGCCATGCGGACAGCCACGGTGCTTATGGCGCACATGGCGCCCACCGTGCTCCGGAGCGGGGTGCTCATGAGGCGGGCAATCCTCGGAAGCTGAAGACATCGTCGTTTTTTTTTTCAAAGGTGAAGTCTGGACATTGTAATTACCGTGATTTCAATGTTGTTTTTTTCCTCCAGCTTTAAATTTCTGGTTCTTTTTCTTGCATAGTTTGAGTTGTTGGAAAGCAATCCATCAACATCAAGCTGCCGGCAGATGAATGGCACCGTTTTGTCCAAGGGCGCGCCTTAGAGGACCGTTTTTTCCCATGCCATATGATGGTTATTTCAGCAAAGATGGAGATCAATCAGCAAATCTCAACGGGAATTTTCTGGGTACAGCATGGGTAAAGCATGGAACCTGGATGAACATCAGGAATCGGGGTGAGTTTGCCCTTTGTGCCATGGGGCTACATCCAGCCCAAATGGGTCAAGGTGGTGCATCTCTTTCCCTTTGAAAGGGAAGAACTGTTGTTCCCCACCTGCCAGGTCCGCCTCTACTCCTGCTTGCAGACTCTATCGCCACTATGCCAGATAAAATGTCAGATCATGCCAGAATATATGCGAGATAACATGTCTGAAAATTTGTCAGACAGAGTGTCAGGATATTTGTCGGAACATATGTCAGACAGAACGTCAGGGAGAAAGATAGATGTCAGAGGGAATATCTGAATACTGTATATGCCAGACAGAATGCCAGACAAAACGCCAGATAGAATTCCAGATAAAATGCCAGGTAGAATGCAACGTAGAATCTCAGAATATATGTCAGATAAATGTCAGGATTTGTGTCAGAATATCTGTCAGATCAGATGTCCGGATTTATGTTCGAATATAGGTCAGGTAGAATAGTGGTTTAAATGTCAGATAGCGTTTTACAGGCACGCAGTTTTGAAGGACAGCGCAAATGATCATGAATATGGACAAATATGGACAAATATGGACAAATATGGACACATATGGACAAATATGGACACATATGGACAAATATGGACAAATATGGACACATATGGACAAATATGGACAAACTATGGATGACAATGAATATGCCAATATAGTAAAATAAGAAAACATGGATGAACTATGGGTAAGACAAGAAAAAACATGGATGAACTATGGATAAAACATGGATGAAATATGGATGAACTATGGCCAAGATATGGCTAAGATATAGATGAAATATGGAGGGAACAACATCAATTTCATGGCCCAACAAACTCGGACTTGATCTTAGATGTCACGTCCGTGGCCCGGCTGAGCCTTGCTTTTTTGTGTGAGGACATCACATAGTCGTGGTCTGATGCTGCAGCAATGACTCTATGCTGTGTACATAGACACTTGTGAATAATAAACTTGATAAACGCATGTGAATGAACACCCCAAACCAAAGATATCACTAACAATCATTATGGTTTGAAACACATAAAACCTATATTTCTTGATACGTATTCAAACACATGAAACCTATTGGTAGGGACAAACATATTTTTGCAATTTCAAAAGCCACAAAAAGGTTTCGTTCTTATGCCCGCACGTCACTTAGTCCATTTCCATCGCTGTACATGACAGTAGCATTGCAGAGCTCCCACGGCATCAAAAATCTGGGCTGTGGTGCAGTTTTCTGTGGGGATTCCCCAAAGTGGCAATCGAAACGTAGGGGTTCCACGGGGGGTTCCCAAATGTCGTGGGGGGTAGCCCTTTTTAGCTGGATGGTGATGGAAAATCCTATTTGGAAAGCTCCAAATCTCAAATTATGGGTACAGTACTGTAGACCTGGAAGAGCCCAAAAAACATGAGTGGAACTGTAGAGGAGGATCAACGCTTGTGCTGTTGATGGCCCCGTCTTTTCCGTAGGCTCTTTTGTCACTATTTGAGTATCTGCAAACATAGAGAGATGAGATTTGAATTGCAAGTGCATACTGTAACATGGCCAAGTAGAAACATGTAGAAACGGGTCAAATGGAAATCCAAACCCAAATCATCGTAGCTGCCTAGCCGTGACCAATTTCGCCATGCAGCAATGGGTGCTTCTTCTGGGTCTGCTTTGCGTGGCTGGTTGCAGGCGGAATGGGGTCAATTTTGCTGTCCCAGATCGTCAAGAGATGTGGCAGACGTTGCTGAAAAAATGGGCCACAGGTCGGATCCACTGGACTGCAAAAAGGATTTAGTCTCATCCTCAGGGGCCAAAGAAGCCACAGGTGCTTCACCATGTTGGCATCAACCATGTTAATTGGCATCAACCATGTTAATCAACATTCTATTGTCACTTGCATCAACCATGTAAAAATTGGCATCTTCTTGAAGAGAGCCTTAGATTCCTTAGATCCCGATCTGTTCTATCACGATTTCGAGGTTGCTGAGCTTCAGAGTTGCATTTTTTGGAGGATCATAACTATCATCACATGGACAGTTCCACCGTCCCATAGACCATGAAGCATAAGTGGTTAGCAACCCTAATTAGTTATAGTTAATCAACCATAGTATAAACATGTCAATGTATTAACTATTAACTAATTATAATAACTATTAACTATTATTAACTATTATAACATAGGATAACTTATTGTAACTATTAACTATAGATAGATAACTACAGTGAAACAGTTGCGAAGCCCAGTAACTCAGGTTTTGCTGCAGCGCAAGGGTGCCTTGTCACGTGCCGAGCCCCTTGGGCAGAGATTTTTATGGCTGCTGGCAGTTGACACATTTGAAAGACGGCGACCGGACAATACGTATGGGGGCATGAACTATTAACCTTCAAAGGTGAAGAAGTATCTAGAATCTAGTAACTATGTATATATATATATATTAAGTATAATATATATATATATGTGTACTGTATATAATATTATATCAGTATGTAAAACCCCCTTACATTGATGGTTGAATTGACTCATCGGAGTCCGTTACCAGTTTTTCAAGGGGTCAAACTCCAACGCCATCTGTGAGTCCCATGGGACCTGGACCCGATATGACCCGTCGCGGTTTTGGAAACCTTCGGTGCTGGAAGCTGCATCGTTCGCCGATCAGTGTTTTACATGACGGGCTATTGAATTTTCTTGAGGTGTTCACATGTGTTCACTACCTCAATTTCTAATAATTTCTTATACCCTCTGGTGGTCTAACATAACTATGGAAAATCACCATTTTTCATGGGAAAATTCACTATAAATGGTGATTTTCTATAGCTACGTTAGTTTACCAAAGGGTAATTTTCAAGTGATTTGTGAAGCCAAACAGCATGGATCCGTGAGGCTCACCAGGAAGGCCTGGGATGATCCAGAAAACATTTGGGGCACGGCGACGGCTCCGCAATCCGCTGAGGCACCTTGATCCCGTCAACGAGGCACCGAGCGTAGAGGAAAAAAACTTGGACAGATAGGAGATGTCGATAGATTCCATAGATGTTGTGATTTACTCTGCTAAAGTCGGGATCAAACCGGCAAGATTTCTATAGAAGTGATATGAATGTGATATCATTGGTGCAGAAAACCAAAAGGGCGATTGATCCAGAAATTGTCAGCTGATTTGCATCCTGTCCCAGGATTTGCCGCATATTGTCAACTTGTCCCCACAGTTGCGGGAGCTGGTTCTGGCCGGTCCAGACACCATCTTTTTCGATGCCGTGATCCGTAAGCTGGCTGCAGTGAATGGAGATGTGGGTGAACCAGTCCGTTTTCTTGGCATATCATGGATGTCACCATGTTAACCTTGGACCCACAGCCCCACAGCCTGTGTGCGTGTGTAAAACCACTCAGCTCACATGGACGACTCAGGCGATTTTCAGCAGAGTCATGCAGACTTTGACAGCTTCAATGGACACATGGAAGGACTGGTCTTGCCTATTTTGGGAGAGGACAAGAAGCCCGTGTACAACCCGAAAAGTTTCTTGGATGCATCGCACAAAGTTCTGAAGAATGCTTGTTTCATCTTGTTTCACTTGAGAACTTTTGCAAAAGGAGTCAAGCTGCTGTTCCTGGTGCACTTAAAGATCTTGCAAGCATTAATCAGTAATCACTGCGGAAACTACGAAAACCTGAAGTCTTCGCAGAGTTCTCCATGTGGCGCACTGAGATGACAACTCGTCATTGTTTCCGCAGCCTCCATTGTCCAACAAAGAGAACTTCGACCAGTGGTTTCGTGATGTTCCTGGAGTCAACAAGCGTTTGAACTTCAGGCGTCATAGTCATTGTCATCATGAAGTTGTCAATGAGATTATTTCGGCCCCCTTCATATGGAAAACAGCCCCATGCTATGGTTCCAACATGTTCCAAATATGTGTAAATCCCCTATGAAATCCATGGTTGTTATTGGGGGATGATCTGAGCGGGGGACCGAAACGGTGAGATTCATTTGTTGCATGGATTTCATTGCAGACTGAACCTACGTCCGGCATCGTCTTGACACTGTCCGGCATGGGAGTTTAGCACCCGAAGATGTTGGAACGAATGCTCATGATAAGCATTAGATTCATTAGATCCTTCTCATAGCAATACTTCTGAAATTCGCAGACATTCCCGGATTCCTTTGTATTAGGCAGTGTTTGTCTTTTGTTTTTGTTTGACTGCGACACCGCAAGAAAGGGACATGTGCGTCTGACTTCTGGGGCTAACCACCATGCTATTTCTGATAGCTGAAATCCACAGACGTGGGGCTGTTTTTTTCTGGTGATGTCACTTGAAGTACCGAGAGCAAAGGACAAAAAGAGATGCTGTTTGAGATGCAAGGACCTTATGCGCACACTATATTTTAGCATATTTAAGATATTTTAACATCTGGGAGTATCACAGCTGCTTTTCACCTCATTTTCGGTGGCTTTTCTTTTTCGTTGCAGGATGGATTTTGTGAAGTCCGCCTCTGGAACCTACGCCCACGACGATGAGGCCTTCTTCCCCATCGACGGGAAGGGTTGGAACGACACCAGGATTGGCTACTTGGATCAGATGGCAGAGATGGGAGAGATGGGAAAACCCCATTTTTTTTTTGGGGCTTTACTAAGCGTCAGATTTTTTCCAGCGACCTACAACATCCTACAACTTCTACAACCATCCAATCTCAAACCTTGAGTCACATCGACTCCAGCCATATCGCACCTGTCAGGTTTGGACAATCAAAGCCACAACTTCTATTTCACCCTTGAGATGCATGCATCCTTCGTCTACATCCCTGGTCTTTCATTTACCTTCCGCGGTGACGACGATGCTTGGAGAATTGCGTTCTTCTACTCACCCAGATGTTTGGTTTCAAGAGGCTTATGGTTGTTGGAAAGCAGGAACCACACAATTCGAAAAGACAAGCGACCTGTCTTTTGCAGATTTCATAAGATTTTCTTTCCCTTCTCCAGCTTTGGTGGAAGAGACTAAGGCGGCACTGACCTGCAGGTGTCCCCCATACCCTTCGGGGCATGGATCATCAAGATTCATGACCCAATTGCACATACACAGATTGTCTGGTCACTGGTCATTTTTGGGATCCAAAACCTTTTCATTTTTTGGGTTGGATCCCTTTTTATTGGTCAAACTATATTAAAGCATAATTGTTTCGACATACATATCCCCACAGTTCTTGCTTCTAGCGCTGATTTTCCAACTTTTTGCCCCTTCAGGCCCTTGGATGTCCATTATATCATCCCGTAGTATCCCATATCATCATCCCATATAGTTGGCTATATTCCCATTAATATCCCCCGACATCCATTCATATCCATTATAGTAAGTTATATAGTATTATATAGTACATTATAGTCCTCCCCCCGAAAAGATAGACACATTTTATAGGATGTCTATTGTCTTACCAACTCCAAACTGTTTGTTCCCCACCTGCCAGGTGAGGGTTGTTAGATTTTATGTCAGTTGCCTCCTCCTGCCTCCTCCTGCCTCGTCCTCCTCCTCCTCCTCCTCCTCTCCTCCTCTCCTCCTCGTCCTCCTCGTCCTCCTCGTCGTCCTCCTCGTCCTCGTCGTCCTCCTCGTCCAACTGCGACCCGCGATCCACAGTGTTCTCTGTCGGACCTCAACCACGACCATCCACGCCCAGTGTGCCCTGCCGGACCTCAACCACGACCATCCACGCCCAGTGTTCCCTGCCGGACCTCAACCGCGAGTATCCGGGCCCAGTGTTCCCTGCCGGACCTGACCACGACCATCCACGCCCAGTGTTCCCTGCCGGACCTCAACCGCGAGGATCCATGCCAAGTGTTCCCTGCCGGACCTCATGTAGGAAGATATGGGACAAAGAATGTGCAGAAGAAAGTTAGAAAGAATGTCAGAAGATATATGCCAGATAGAATGCCAGATAGAATGCCAGAAGATATGTCAGAATATATGCCAGAAAATATGCCAGATAGAATGCCAGAAGATATGTCAGATAGAATGCCAGAAGATATGCCAGATAGAATGCCAGAAGATTTGCCAGATAGAATGCCAGAGATATGTCAGAATATATGCCAGAACATATGCCAGAAGATATGCCAGATAGAATGCCAGATAGAATGTCAGATAGAATGCCAGAAGATATGCCAGAAGATATGCCAGATAGAATGCCAGATAGAATGCCAGAAGATATGTCAGATAGAATGCCATGCCAGATAGAATGTCAGATAGAATGCGAGAAGATATGCCAGATAAAATGCCATAAGATATGCCAGATAGAGTGCCAGTAGATATGCCAGATAGAATGTTAGAAGATATGCCAGATAGAATGCCAGATAGAATGCCAGAAGATATGTCAGATAGAATGCCAGAAGATATGCCAGATAAAGTGCCAGAATGTTTGCCAGATAGAATGCCAGAAGATTTGCCAGATAGAATGCCACAAGAAAATGCCAGAAGATATGCCAGATAGAATGCCAGATAGAATGCCAGAAGATATGTCAGATAGAATGCCAGAAGATTTGCCAGTAAGAAAATCTATAAATGTCATGGTGGGGATCACACGAAGTAAAGTAATTTTTTTATTGCAAAAAAATATCCATATCAATTATATCCACATATTTTTCCATATTTTTCCCATCTCATCATAGAATTGGATGATGGGAAAATTTACAGGAAACCCCTATATTTGATGGTAAAACCATCGTTTCCTGTAGATTTTCCCTTAAACCAATCCATTGAGTCTCAGGATGTGTGGGTCTTCATGGACAACAAGTTGGTGATCGACCTTGGAGGCGTTCATGGGCCCCTCCAAAAGACCTTTTCAGTGGATGAGTTGAACCTCACCGAGGGCATCTCGGTGGGAAGCCTTCGATGGGTGATGGGTTTTTAAACAACGGTGGTTAAAAAAACCACCGTTGTTGATGTTGGATCAAAAAAAGCAAATGATAGAAAATGTAGAAACTCCTAGTGGTAGAACATATATACTTTTCGTATTTTCTATACTCTTTTCTTGGGTTCCTTGGGGACAATTGGCATTTTGTCATGGGGAAAATCATGAATAAATGGACAATTTCCATCAATTTCTCATAGTTCTGTTAGTTTACTGGAGGGTACATCACCTGTTTGGTTTGGTGAATATTGCTTTTGTATAGTTGAATACACTATATATATATGTCTCTATCTATCTATACATATATATATATGTATAGATATAGATATAGATATATATATATATGCGAAGGGGAACGAGATAACACAGTAGTCACACATGCTGAGCATGTGCACATTCTTGCATGGGACGCCATTTTGGCTCAAGACCCACTGCGAGGCCAAAATAACGCGCTCCGCTGCTGCATGGTTTGACAGCTCTGACTATCAGCACATAGGGAACTACAACCGAAGGATATCCAGAACAAGGATCAATTTGTTCACAGGTTATCAGCCGTAGGGCTCACTTCTCCCGCCGGGAGAGTGGTACCTGCGTGCTGGTAGCCGGGCCGTCTGAGCAATTGATTGAGGACGCAAAGGACCAATCAGCTCATCATCGCAAAGATGCAAGGCGGCAGCGGAGATTCGCGCACCACGCAGTTTACCTTCAATGAGAACGCTGCTATGCCGGTCGAGGAGGTCAATCAATCTTCCCCTGGCGACACGGCAGACAGTGGCGGGATACGCCCTACCCGAACTACACAGTCCGGATGGCAAGTCACATCAAACAGACGAAGAATATCCACCCAAAGTACACCTAGATCTTCTCGAAACAGTGCTCGGAGTGATGTTGTCCGCCAAGGGCATCGACCATCTCGAGGACGTACTACTCCAAGGGACAGATCCACCAGGGCCGTGACCGACCGAATTGGTGAGAGGACCGGGGATAGTCGTGTTAAGGGGAGATCAACGGATACTTCTGTGGCTAGTGAACCTATTGCCATGATAGAGGAACTACGGGCACAATGTCAATCCCTACGTAATCAGCTGAACAACATGGAAGCATACGCTGCATCCAGGGATCAACTGATTCATGACATCGAGATCAGATTCACTGAGTATCTTCGGGAACACAATCAGAATGCATTTGATGAGGTCAATGCACTCAATCATAGATTGTCATGTTCCGCAAATGAGGTTGCAGAATATCAAGCAGAACTAATGGTAGCATCTCAGGAAGACGAAGGTGCAACAATACGCATCCAAGACCTTGAACGCCGAGGTGCCCTAATGGAACATGGTGCACGACGGATCCATCAACGTGGTATGGAGATCCAGGAGGAGTACAAGGATGAAGTACATCACCTTCAAGGACTACTGGGTAATACGGAGGCAAGACTACAACAACTTCATCAAACCAATGTCTTAACCACCGATATTGCCAATCGACTATACAATGAGGGTCAAGAAATGCAAAATGATTTCCAGAACTCAATCATGGAATATCGTAATCGATCTGAAATGGCATCCTTCTCTAGTAATCAGCTTGAAGTGATTAGCCAACAACAATCAATTGCAGTTCATGAATTATCTGAGCGAAATCAGCTATTGAGTGAAGCTTTGGTTCAGTCTCGTAAACAGGCCGAGCTGTATGAGAGCAGTATTGATGAGATCACTAGAGAATCTAGGAAGAAGGTGTTCGAGGCAAATCAGGCCAAATTGGAAAGTGATCTGAAGCATCGAAACACTGAACATGATACCGTCAGAAGAATTGCATCATACAGGAACCAAGAGGCCGAAGCAATATCTCACCTGAGGCTTGAATCACAGGCTAGTGCAAACTCGATCGCAAGGGCAGAGCACTATGAGGAGCTCTATGCCAACGAGCAGAAGATGAACTGCGAATTGAAGGATGAGATCAAGTTGCAGAACACGAAGTTACGAAGATCGTTGACTCAGGGTTCTACGACCGACGGTCGTGGCCCCGAAGAGATGCTTGTTGAAGATCTACGTAATCAAGCTAAGATCGCTCAAATCAGGGTTCAGGATCTAGATCATGAAGTTCATGAATGTTTACAAGAGAACTTGTTGTTAAAAGAAAGGTTGGCTGAAGTTGCGGATGTAGGGGCGTCGTCCCTCACCAATGCTGAGGTCCGAACTCTAAGATCTGAACTAGAGAGTGAGCGAAAATTGAAATTGGCGAGTGGTGTTCAACAATATGAGAGATCATGCATGTTCATGGGGGAAATCCAGGATAGGGATGAAAAGATTGGCATCAAGAATTCTGAGATTGTTGACATGAAACGTCACTTAGACGAACTGAGAAAAAGTCTCAAGGATTCTGAAACATCTATGGCTAGGATCAGTCCTGACACACTTCCCTATTCGGCAGGCATTCCCAACTCCGATCTCGCATCCAGACTGGTCATCGACAAACTGGAGAATGACGTGAGTGAGGCTAACTGTGAAAACGCTATTCTGAAATCTTGGGTTTCGCAGATCGACAAGGAGTTGACTTATGAGACAAATGTGGCTCATTCCTATCGTGGGCATGCTGTACCTCCTCAACAACAACAGCATTCTCAATCAAGCAAAAGAATCGCTGATCTGCTGAAAGAGGTTGACAACAAGATCGCTGGCGGAACTGAGAGGGACTATTACAAGCCACCGAGTGGATGGGGCGGTCCGCCTGACCCTGATGGACCTCCGGACCCTTTTGGGCCTAACGGTCCAGGACCACCTCCTGAACCTCCTGGTTTGCCTTCAGTTCGAGGATCACAACGCGATTCAGCAGATGATGTCTCCACAGCGGCTTACACTGCGGAAGAAGTACCGAGAATGTCAAGACGAGAGGCTGACAAAGTCTATGTTAGCCCATGGCCAAAGCAACAGAATCTTGGGGTTTGGCAATCAGATCTCATCAAGAGTGTTGTTCTTTCGGCAAATGACGGGGATAAAGCCGCATGGGAAGCATGGCTACAGCCGGCTATTCGACCAAATCCTGACATCGAGCTGTTGAATGACAGTGGGGGGCAACGGTATCAGTCCATCGACGCCAAGTTGTCAATTGCATTGTCAAACGTGATAGCCCAAGCCGGTGATGTTGCTCGTCATGTAGCGATCAAATTGAGATTGAGAACACAAAGTCATAGCCGAAGAGGAACCTATGTCATGGGACGGGAAATCTTGGCTATGATTCTGGAGCACTTCAGAACCCCAGGTCAACGAGAAACATCCTTCACCATGGAACACATCGTATCGATGAAGTATCTCGGTGACTCGAACCTAGAAGTGTTCTACGAGAAATGGATGGAGATGGTATCAAACATGATGCCGGATGACGTACCTCCTGATGATTGGCTTCGTGACGCTCTATACAAGAAGATTCGAAATTCGAGTCTTATGATGTTCGACATCAAGCAGTACGAGTCATGGATGGAAGGAGACCAAAGACGAAATTATCGCTACCTGTTGGATGTCATCGAAAGGCACATCTCCAGAATCAGAGAGGACAAGCATGTGGCAGCCAGAGAGAAGTATGCGAGAGACTTTGCAGGCGGCGGCAAACCTTCAGCTCCTGCTCCGAACCCAACTGCCGCTGCACCGGATGCAAATCCAAAAGCGAAGCCTAAAGCTACTCCCAAGGAGAAGGCAGCGCCCAAGGCGAAGGCCAAGGCCGATGCAGCTCCAGTTCTACCATCACCTCAGCCTAAACAGCATGCGAAAGGAAAAGGAAAAGGTCAAGGGAAAGGGAAGGATCGAGCAAACAGCCGAAGTACCAGCCCCAGATCCAAGAAGAAGATCCCATGCCATTTCCATTTCATCAAGAAGTCATGCAGAAAAGGCAAAGATTGTGAATACAGTCATGATCAAAAGGTGTTCGAGGCGAATAAGAACGCAAAAGGGAATGGTCGGAAGCCAGGAACTCCAAGAAGTCAATCTCCGGCAAACAAGACCAAGAAGATTGATGAACCATGCTGGCATTGGGCCAAGGGCAAGTGTCGGTATGGAGACAAATGCAACAAACGCCACGATCCTCATCTATTTAACACTGCTCCCAACACCGAAGCACCAAGCTCAAAGGCTACTCCTGCACTTGTCCATGATTGGAGCGATGATGAAGAGACGTTCCATAAGATTGCATCGAACGTGGTCAAGAAGAGGGTCAGATTTGATGAGTCTAAGACTCACGTTCAAACTTACGTAAAGAAGGACTTCGTGAAGTGCAATCGGAAATCTCAGACTGTCTCCAAAGGGCATGGCAAAGTTGGAAAGCCCACTGATCAGATAAGGAAAGATGAGCAATGGTCTTATTCATGCAGGTTAGCTTCGAGCCGAGGGAAAGCAATGGCTATTCTGATCGATGAGAAGGGTGAACACAGTGACATTGATGAAGTCCTGGTCATAGTCGGCCCTAGCATGGACATCCTGATCAGACTCGACGTCGAGGACGGTGAGGTGTCCAGGGAAGTTTTTGTGGAAAACTATGTTCAGCATATTGAAGGTCGATATGGTAAAAGGGGCAACACAATGTGTATCACTGTTCCTGTTGAAGAGAGAGATAAGAGATTCATATTGGATTCTGGAAGTGGCCATGATCTCATTTCATCCACACGAATAAGTAGAATGGATCTCCCAACATACGATGACAAGGTCGTCAACTTCCATACAGCAAATGGGGTAACGTGTTCGACCAAACGTTCAAGCATCAAGTTCGAGGCATTTAGCGAACCAGCAGAAGCTCACATCTTGGAGGACACACCCTCCGTGCTCTCCATGGGGAAGCGATGCGTTGATCTTGGTTACTCTTTTGTATGGCCGACCGGAAGAACTCCATTCATGTTGGATCCAAATGGCAACTTCATCGAGATGACTGTTAAAGACTATATTCCCTATGTGAGCGTCGATCAAGAAAAGATCA